TGGTTGAAAATTGGACCTCCAGTTTATACTACGTCCAAGCCAGTCATGGAGGTCATATGCCTGAAATCTTATTTAAATTATAATGACAGAATATTATCTTTCCAAAATATTATATTTCATATCAATAATAAGAATCATTTTTGTTTTATTTTATTTCAAAGTTCTATACCTCTAGAAAAAACACCCTTTATATCTACGTCTATAGGAAGTTTCTTATAGTTTACACGGGTTTATCTTCCATCTTAGGTGTAGATTACTTGATAGTTATGAACATTGTTCAAAACTAGGAAACAATTTTGATAATTTTCTTCGTCCATGAAAGTGGTTGTTGTTGGAAGATATAAAACTCAATTTTAATTATACCGTGTTTGCTTAATTTCATTTAAAAATACTTTCACAAGTAATAATAGGGTTCTTAATTATAGAGTTATATTCAAGCACCAAAATATCAGAATAGATCTTAAACGTTAACTTATAAGAGATAACAATTTTATTTATGTGATAAAGTTACATTGTGGCTTAAAGTAATTAAGTATCCTAAGTGCAAGAAAATGATTTGTAATAGAGTTAGTATATAAGTTGTGGGTACAATTATTCTATTGAAGGATTTGCAAGATTTTTAGCTATGTATGTCTATATAAATATGAAATATAATACTGATAATAATCATCAATCACTTTATTATTTTAACATTATAAGCTATTTATATTTTATGGAGAATAATTTCAAAAACAAAATACACTCATAACATGCCTTCGCTTTTTAGAGTTTATAATGTCATATTAGCAGTGGCTATCCAATTAAATTACTTCTACGTATAAAATACAAAATTTATATATTTTCCTTTTCTGTTTCAGGGGTCTAGTGGCAAGATGTGTATGGAGTCAGAAATACGAGGGCCGAAAACTTTCCTCATTTAACATATGTGTTACGTGTTTCAAAGTGCGTGTGACAAAAGTGTCAATGTGTTTGTTATGTGCTCATTGGCTACAGAACAGATGAATCGACGAGGGTATTTAAACATCATAACGACGGCTATCCAATGAAAATTAAAATGCTTCTTATCATTGGAATTATATATGGATGTTTTTCAATAGGTATGTTGTCATTATATTTCTTAATAGTTTTATAATTCAATTTTATAATTTTCAGAAAAGTGATAGATAAATTTAAGAGTAGATTAGAAAGTTACAAAAATCACTCCATATTTTTTTTTAGATAGATCACAAGAAATAATGTATGCCTTACATAATGTAAGCGTTCTTTAATATACGTTAGGAACGTCTTTGAACCATCCATACGAGTATTAGAATTCCGCCAAGTATTAGATGTTCTTAGAAAGTACCAGGATATAAGAAATCAGCAGCAAGTCTAGTTTTGATCCGTATGTGGCACACGCATCCAGAGTTCAGTTCACATGTACACACACTCATAGAAAGTTTTTCTATGATCCCCTATATCTGTTTCCCTCGCACATCAACATTTATACGTTTGTGGCAAGAGATAGCCAACGGGTTTGTTTCTAAGAGTCATTGACGTATCCGTAGAGTAGGGACTATCACATAGAATAACGTTTATGTCACTTCTCTTTCCTTCCGATGGTTTGACTATTCGCGCGAAAGGGATGTGCGCTGGGAAACAATTCTGAAATACGATATTTGCTTCTATATAGTACTAAGGTAACAGGAACGCAAGAAGTTTAAAGCTGGCTGTTTTAAATAGAAACTGTTCTGATATATTGAATTCTATCTCGAGATATGTGAACAAAAAAGAAACTAATATAACGGTTTTACTATTGCTGATTTATATCTATAAATCTCGTTTTTGTAAGGATATACAAATTTAATAAGCAATACGTTAAGTAATGATTATATTTTATTTTATACTTTCAATATTTAAAATGTAAATTTAATAACTTTATTATTTAAAAAATCGATTTCATGATAGGCGGTAGGAAAAAGTAGGTGGTAGCACTTATAATTAACTATGAAAATAAATGTATATATGAAAATCCATTTATTCTGTCTTTACTTTTAAAAATTAAGTCCCAAGAAAGTCTTTTAGATTAAGATATAAATCAAAAAATACAGAGATCAATCTGTGTTAATTAATGGGATCGTGTGGGCTTGTCACATAGAAGCTATTGAAATACTAGACATTCCGTTTGAAGTACATCACAGTAATTTTTATGACTACTTGTAACTCGTCAAGTGGGAAATATGTTTACGTATGTCATACACCTTCCACAGGTGAAAATTGAATTCTAAGATTCTCAAACTAATTAAAAGATACGTTCAACTTTATCATTACGCGTTTAAGTTATAAAATTGAACGCAGCAACTTTATTAGTCTAGGACGTACCGAGTACCACATTTATCACAACATACTAAACGATTTTCGCTCTTATGGAATACACATTAGGCTGTTTTGACCTTACCAAGACATTCGGAACAGCTCTATGCGTTTATGCAGCCCTGGTACAAACCGACGCACACACATTGCAGTGCCCCGGTTTCTTTCATATATCAAGGTCACATGTGTTTCGTCTCATTCGCACGCCAATTTGAATTGAAAGAATGACAAGGCTGCAAAATAGCAAACACATCAGAAGACGCACAAGTAACATAAACAAGAAAACTTCACGGCTTAATTAGGTACATGCCAACCAGATGCATTGAGTACAATTAATAATAATTTGATATTACACTTAGCCATATACATACTTTTATGACTCAGATAAATAAAGATTTTGTCATGAAGTAAAATTTACTTGAAACCATTAGGAAAATAGTATGTTTGGGACTGTTAATATGACAATTTAAATTAAGAAAACCAAAGATTTATCTGTGCGACAGCGTTTATAATGACTAAATTAATTAAATGGCTGAAAAACTAGCGAACCAATTATGAAAGAACTTTAAGAATATTTTACCATAACTTTAGACACATCCACACATGAACAACAACACATGAAAAACATCAAAAAATATAATATATAAAATTAAATTTCTTTAATATAGAAACGTAATTTTAATATTCCGTTAGTACTTTTTTCCACATATAAAGAAAAGAATTGAAAAGCATTAGAGTCGCTGAACTTTATTCGATTTGACGATTTTAATCTCTATAAGCAAAACGTTTAAATAGATTTTCTATTGTCAGTTTTAAAGTCTAAGTTAGTGAAATAAAATTAAGAAACATTTCGACGAATAAAAACAACATTGTTATTGTTAGCATTTTTTCTATATTTTGACTTTACAAACTAGTATAAAAACAATAGTTACTATGAAATATTCCACTTACTTAGTGTCTGATAATTAATATTAAATACAAACTTTATAATGATTTTCACATAATAGTTTTATAAAATACGAGTTCAGATTTACCTCAATATATTATGTTTAGTTTCACCGCTTGTTTTCATAAAATCCAACACATAATTTTGAAATTAAACATCAACAATTTATAAGAGAAAGTCTGCTATTAGATTTATGTTGAGTATAAATGAAATTTATATACAATATCGATTGTACATAGAATTTTTGAATTTTTTATAAATTATTTTAACGGTTCTTTATTTCACTTGGACAAATAGAATTCGTGAAGGACCACATGTTGACAGTTTGTATCCTTTTTCGGAATCATGAATAGCCAAATTAGACTAAATTAGAAGAATAATAGTTTTTGGTTATGTAACATTATATGCCTATTGGAACTGGTAATCTCAGCATGACTTATTTGGAGGTATATTAATAACATGTTTAAAACTGAAAAGTTTTTTTTTTAATACATTTCTCAGTACATCTTTCTTTGGAGAATATTGACTTCGTTCTTACTTACAACCCTTTTTAAAATACATTATGTACCTTTATTGTGTTATTTTTAATCAGATAATAACAGGTGCTACGCAAATATGTATATGTATGTCTCATTTTAATGATATTTTTATTTAAGAACGCTTTGTATATATATGTATGTGTGTGTTCTAGTAATATTTTTCACGAGCTAAAAATCAGAAATAGTCCTAACTTGTAATACTTTCTTACGTTATAAACCCCATCACAGGTTGTTGTGCCTTTTTCCATATAAATAATACTTCCTCACATAAAATGTTCATAAAACTGAGGACTGCTTAAAATTCGTTATAAAATATAATAACAACCTTCAAATCTCTATATCAGAGTTATTAAATAAAATGGACGCCCAAATCATTAAATGTAACGTCGATCGTAAAGTAAATATTAGATTTTGCTCTAAAATTATAGCTATGAAATACCTGGAGGCAGTTAAAGCTTAATTGTTTTATACCTAAAACATTATATATAACAAAAAGACTACTTTGTTTGCTTGATTATTTTATATATAATATTTGGTAGAAAAAGATAACTGCTTAACAAAATAAAACATAAAACAATAATCAATAATATGATTATTTAAGAATATAATTATCAGAACCGGAATGAATTTCGACTCTGTAATCTTTTTAATTACCTGTTTTTCAAAGCGTAATATTATAAATGTCAATTTGATTTTAACAGCGATCGAAATCAGTTGTTTTTTGACAATTCTTTATTTCTATAAATTAGTATTAAAGTTTGTCTATCCACACGTAAGATTATACCCTATATAATTACAAGAACACAAATTATATTAAAATAGATTTATAAGACATGTTTGTCAAGGCTGAGCTCATGAATTTGTTGCTAGGCGTCCTCCAACAAAACAAAATCTTATCATTCATACTGTTCATAGTGTCAAAATTACGAAATATGCGTTCAGAATACATAAATGGAAGTATTACGTGTCGTTTGTAATCGGTCGGTGAAAGTGAACTTTCTCTCGCTGTTTATTAAACCAGTTAGTTATCCTCGAGTTTTAGCTTTTATCATTTTACCTCTTAAGATTTGATTATATTATATAATGAAACAAAATGTCCTACTATTGCGTGATGTTTTATAATTCAATTACAGAAAAGACAACAATTGCAACATTTCCCCGAGATGACTAATTCCTATAAAAAGTCTATGAATAAAACTGGTACATACCTAAAAAGAAATAAATTATGGGTACTTAATTAGTTTATTCTACGTATCGTTGTAGGAAAAGAGCTATAGGTAGCAAAATGAATGAGTGATATTTTTTACCACCAGATCTAAGGGTAACGCTAATTACTCCTAGATAACTTTGGAATACTAATACCAAGATTAGCATAACTGTGTAAGGATAATTTATCCTAAATTTCCTTTGAAATATATAAGATAGCAATGTTTATAAGCCTCTCTCTTGGTTAATCTATAAATCTTCTATTTATACCTGTATTGTTTCAAATACTCCCTGCAAAGGAAGGACATGAGTTCAATGCCCTCATTTGAATACATTGCTTATAAAAGCTAGGGCCGCTTTGTAATAAAGCAATACAATTGTATTCTTAGAAAAAAATATATAAGTTGGTATGGAACAATGTCCGTATTATTTGTTTATTTAGTTATTGACAATTATATTTTTATACAGATATGATTAAAAATAAATGTTTAATATTTACGGTTGAAAAAGATATTTTTAACTATTATTTTCATATCGTTTAATTATACATAAGCCTGCAAATCCCATATTTTTCTGATAAGTTTTTAAATTATATTCGTGTTTTCATTTTAAGTAGCTTCAGCTCTAGTCATATAAAGTAAATTGGTTGAAAATTGCTTTCGTAAGCTATAAAACCCACATTTTTCTTGCATTAAAACCGTAAAAAACATCGTGTAAATATTTTTTTCATGTAATTTGACTTATGTTTTGTAGGCATGAACTTCTAAGGATAAAAAAATACAGATTTTTTTTTCTGTAAACTTAATATTTTATATCAAAATAAAACATTGTTTCTTACATTTATTCTGAAATGACGGTGGTAAATTATGTATTTCTATAAAATACTAAATTATAAAAATATTTCCTTCAAACGGGCTAGCAAGACCAAAAGAAATTGGAAAAATATTGAATAGATCTGGAAAAAGACAGATTTAAGTTTTTCTTAAGCTTTACACCAATACGTAAAAGATATGTAGTTTCTGCTGTTTTGATTAATATGCTGTCTATATTTTTCTTTTAGATTGTAGAGTAATCTTTTATTTATTTTCTATTTATCGCTACGCCATAGTGCAATCGGCTTATAATTTTTTTTTTCAACTGTAATTTTCTGTTGGTTAAACGTATAAATGTGTAAAAAAATTCTATCCTACGATTATCCCTATTGAAATAAGAAAGAAATGAAATCTTTATGAATTTCAATTATAAATTTAAAAGTTATTTTACACTTTTTGTACTGTCTCTTATATAAGCCAGTCATTGTACATTGTTACGTAGTGGATTTTGATGAAATGTAACATTGAACGGCAAACATAAAGGATTTTATGTCGTCACACTTCATCTTCAAAGTAAGTAGGAAATGTGGTCACTTATTGACAAATAAATCAAATCTTGTGACATCTCTTATTGTGTACAAGTTCAATAAAGTTACTGGTGCATGTCTCTAAGAAGGAAAATTTATAGCTAAATTGGTATTTATAATATCATTTGTATATGTACGCAGTTCTAGTAAGAACATAAATTAGTGAATATAACAAAAAAATAATTGCATCAGTGGAAAAGTAATTCGAAAACATTATTCAAGAATAAAACTGTACTAAAGGAACATTAACTTTAAATTACAGAAGTTAAGCTTAGAACTGAGCTTAAACATTTTTAACGAATCTAAACTTAGTGTATCGACAGTTTGAGTACATGTTAGAGAACTTGGTAGCATGAACTTCTTTTTTAAAAACTTCTTGCGAAATAAATGGTTCTAACTTTGGTATATTAATAAGTAATATTATTTTTTTTCCAGTGTCTCCACAATTACCACCTGGATTCAGTTTGCCGGCCATCACTCATGTAGACCGTAATTGGTTTGTCATGTCCAGTGACCCCATCGGTTCTGTGGTTACAAAAGTTTATAGTGATCGTACTGGAACGCAAAATGTTAAATATGGTTTGGAGACTTTCGGGCCTCCAACACCTTTTAAAATTGATCCCGTTTCTGGTATAGTTACTGTCAATGATACTTTAAAAGACAAGGTAAATATAAATTATTATAAAAGTAATTTGTGTAATGATTAAGCAATACGGTTAAAATTTAAAAAAATGTGGTTATTGCATTTTTTGTTTCGTTTTAACGTTGATTTTTCGTAATTATAATCTCTATTTTCATTGAGATAAAACAATAACCTAATGACCTATTTACAGGAAAACCGAACTTATTCACTATGGGTTACGGCGTTCGATGGATCTTCAATACCCCAGCGGACAGAAGTTATAGCCTCTATAACAGATAAATCTGGTTTTCGACCTAATGTGCCACGGCCGCCACCATTTGCTATTCCCAATTACCCTACCGTTCCAATGCCATCAAAATTTCCTAGACCATCACAAAGTACTCAACTAACTGAGACACAAACTGAAAAAACTGTTCTTGACACAACCACGGCAATCATCACAACTACAATACCATTCGACAAAGAACAAGATAATGAAAAGAGAGATAGAATACAAAATGAAGAAAATAAAAAAAATATAACTAAACCGGCAGTCGAGGAGACTTCAATGGGAACTGATATGCCTTTAACGGTTATACCTCTTATAGCTATTGGTGGATTAGTTATAATTGTCGCTGCAGTAATAATATTTGTTTGGAAAAAGAACAGTGTTAATGCGAAGATAAAAAAGGATGACATGGTGAGTGAGACTATATATAATTTCCTAACAATACACAAAGTAGGTTTGTACTGATATGGAATAGGGGTAAAATTAAATACGACAAGAATGTATATCATCCCATGTCTCAATTAAGAACATTTTTTTTCTTATTTCGGTTGTCCACAGAGCAAAGACTCAAGTGGCATCGTGTTACAAGATGCAACTATGAACTTATGGGACCGTCCCCGTGCATATTCTAATCGTTACGAATCCTGGGATAGCAACCACTTACAGGTCAGTTTTGACCTCTTTCACTTATCACTAGTACTTTGTTCATCGAAATATAGCTCAAAATTTACATTATAATATTCTTGCCATAAAAAAAACAATTTCGAATCATTACTTTTTTCGAAAACTTTGAATAACATAAGTGAATTCCTTTTTTTTTGATAAAAGAAAGACGTGTTTATATTCATTCGGGTTTAGTGTTTAAAACACATGCATATTTAGTAATTTGTTACAAAAACAATATTAAATGTTTGAAAGAATACAAACGATATATATAATGGTCATACATATATGGTCCTGATAATAATTAATTTACTATGAGTACCTTTCCCAAAGATTAACCTTTAATAAAGTTACAATTTAAGGCGAAAATTTAATTCAAAAGGATTTGAAATTTCAACCATCGGATTATCTTATTACATTTCTTTATCAATAAAGCTATATTGCCACGACTCGACTCTCTTCTATATTATATTTTGGGATACTTTGTCATCACATAACATAGAAGAGACGTAGTAAAAGTGTCGTCACCACAGTATATTAGAAAACTTTGATAAGGATTTTGTAATAAAACCTTCAGGATATAAAGGCTATACAACACGACAACTTAATTGGTAAAGAAATTGACACACGTTGCTGATTCGAATCTTAATAACAATTTTACAATTTAACTTTTCATTCATTATGTTTTTTATAAAAAGTTCAGTTGATTAGATAAATCTATTTTAGGCATCTGAAGAAACAACAATCAGCAAAGAAGAGCCTCGGGATGCCTGGGAATTTCCGCGACATCGCCTTAGGATATTTAATATTGTCGGCGAAGGTGCCTTTGGTCAAGTATGGAGAGCCCAGGCCATTGATATTGATGGTGGGATATCAAAATAATTTAAAACATAAGTTTTTAAAATATTTCAATCTCTGATCGTAGATAATTAATAAGTATATTACAATTCAATTCAATATTATAGTCACTAAAATATTTTTAACATGAGAAAGTAGAAAAAAAAATTCAGTATACTTAACGTATTAACATAATTCAGATGTAAAAATATTTTGCATTGTATATATATCACATAAGTAGGTACGTAAATAGATATTTTTATAGAAATACTATTTGAACTATCTTTTTTTTCCTGGTAATTTTAAAACAAAACATTGTTTTGTGAGACATTACTTTCTCATTTTAAATAATAAATGTAGACTATTATATTGAATTACATTTGTAAATTATCAATAAATTATAAAAAGACATTATTTTTGCGTGACTATGATTGAAAATAAACTAACTTGATAGGTGACTTTGCCTGAGAATTTTTTTGTGTATTTTAAGCTTATCTTCTATATATATATAAAAATGGATTGCTGTTCCTTAGTCTCGCTAAAACTCGAGAACAGCTGAACGGATTTATTTTATCTTAGTCTTGAAATGTTCGTGGAGGTTCAGGGAAGGTTTAAAAGGTGAGAAAAATTGATTCATTTTCGGGAAAACCCTAAAAACAGCCCTTTTCTATTTCCCATACAAATGTTTTCTTTGACATTAGATTTGACAACTAACTAATATGTCAATCATTCTGTTTAATTGAAACAGGAAAAACCTGATCATTTATGGCCTCTAGGACGGAATATAGTTCGCCCGGTCAGCTATACATATATTACTAACTAGAAGACCTGGCGAACTTCGTATCGCCCTATAATCAAGAAATATCTATTACGTTTTTTATTTATATTTTTGGAGTTTACCTGTAAGCCATAAATCTGAGTGTTTTGAAGTGCGACAGAATGATTGACATATTAGTTGTCAAATCTAATGTCAAAAAAAAGTTTGTATGGGAAATAGAAAAGGGCTGTTTTTATGGTTTTCCCAGTAGTGAATCAATTTTTTTCAGATTTTATACCTTCCCTGAACCTCCACGAACATTTCAAAACTAAGATAAGTCCGTTCAGCTGTTCTCGAGTTTTAGCGCGACTAAGGGACAGCAATCCATTTTTATATATGTATATAGAAGAAGAAGATGATGAAATTAACGCGGACGAAGTCGCGGGCAAAAACTAGTAGTCAATAAATTAATTATCCGTGACATATCATCTCTGTTATTCAGTTTACTAAATTATCTGTATTAACTAAAAAAATAATACAATTTCTCACTAAAATAAATATTCTTTTAAAGAGTTTCCTCACTAAAATAAATTTGCTTTCTAGAACATAAGTTCCTGTGACTTCCAATAGAAATTGCTTACAATGTTTATGCCTTTGTATATGAGCACTAACTACAACATTTGTTTGTTATATAAAAGATATCGAACATCCTGATGTTTGATCTCAAATAGGAAGAAGAATAAAGTTAATATTTATATAAATTATAGAGTGGAACGTTGCAATTGTTTGTTTGAATATGATGTATACTTAACAAAGGATTTTCAAATATTTGTAACAATTTCAGGTAAGAAAGGAGAGCAAACGGTGGCTGTGAAAACACTCAAAGAAAATGCATCCGAAAAAGAAAAGGCAGATTTATTACAAGAATTGAATGTGATGAAGAATTTGGGAACACATCCTAATGTCGTTCGTCTCATAGCCTGTTGTACAGATATGGTGAGAGTGGATTGCCTTAGTAATAAATTTAGATTATATAAAAAAAAATCCTTAGAAAAAAACTTAATAGGCTTCATAGTACTCTTTATTTAACTTAATACGCATTCGAGTATAATTCCTAATACTCGACTCTTAACATTATTCTTTATATTTTAATCTATATATAATCACACAGTTCAAACTGCTTACAATATGATTTTGCTTTAAAGGAACCAACCCTTGTGATAATGGAATTTGTGAGTTTGGGTAAGCTTCAACAATTCCTTCGAGATTCTCGCGCTGAGCGTCACTACGGAAACACTCACGGGGGCAGCCAATTTTTAACATCACGGGATTTAACGCATTTCGCCTTCCAAGTAGCGAGAGGCATGGACTTTTTGAGTTCCAAAGGGGTGAGAAATAATTGAATTCGTTTGAATATTTGCTATATTCCAAATTCGTGTTGGTTTAGTTCGATAAGAAAAAACATTAAGATAATTAATTAAAAATATACGAAGTATATTAAATTTTGTTTATAAAATGAGAATATGTTATCTTCATTACTATTCATGTTAAGGAATACGTATTAATCCCCGAGTGGTGTGTTTTTTACTTATTAAAACCTTTGAACTTGTAACATGTTTTAAGATCGTCCCGAGGCAGTAAGGTCAGTTACATAAAATATACAATTTTTAAGATTAAAATGATCCTAGATATTCATTTTAAAATTAATAGGGACAACCTTCAGTATTACATATAATATCTATTAGAGGTAGCCACGTTATATAAATATAATTAAACAGTAATTTAACCATAATTCAAAATAAGATTCATTTATTACCTGGTCACTTTTATTCTTTAAGTAGGAGTTTAAAGTTTAAAGTAGCTAACAGCATTAGACAATTCGAAACAATATTTATAAACCGTTTATAATAATATCATGAATTTTTTTGTCTTCATACAAGTTTGCTTTATACTATGATGAGATATGATTCTTTTACTACTTGGTCCTAAAAAATGTATAGGTAAAAACCATTTTTCGTTGGGTTTTTTAAACGCACAGGAATATAAATTTTATGAATTGATTTTACAGATCATACACAGAGATTTAGCGGCGCGTAACGTGCTGATAAACGACGAAAGAACGTGTAAGGTTGCAGACTTTGGTTTCGCTAGAGACATCGGTGGCACCCACGTGTATGAAAGGAAAAGTGATGGACGCTTGCCTATTAGGTACGGTTTTCTTTTTTATGAAGTTACTATAGAGCGTCTGATTTATAAATATCTTTATACACTCGTAATAAAAATCTTCATGTCTAAAATCTTTATTATAGTATCTAAGGTAGAAAATTTTAATGAGCAATATATATGAGTATCACTTTTAAATATCAACAGATGGATGGCACCAGAGTCACTGTACGATGATATATTTAGCGTTAAGTCAGATATATGGAGCTTTGGTGTCCTTCTTTGGGAGATTGTAACGCTGGGCTCAACTCCTTATCCTGGTCTGTCCGCAGGGGATGTTATGAAAAAAGTAAGTTAATCAATTATACATATACAGTAATAAATCTGTATTGATTGAAGTTTAGTGAGATACTTAGTACACTTATATATTTCACAATTTCTACTTAAGTAAACGTTGTTTTCATAGAATGTAAATGTTTCATTTGTAGCAATTCGTCTAATCACCTCATGAGTAGAAACCTTTGAATGAATGAACCACGAATGTTTTAAATCATGGTTTATGCAAGTCATATTGTCTGCTATAGAGATTATTGATAAGTACAGATATGGTTATATTTTTAATAGAGGTTGTAACAAAATATAAGGTTTATTTATACTAATAGTTGAAATAAAAACTCGATTATTTCAGTATTTTGAAAATGTTTATAATAAAAATAGAACAACTTCAATTATTTAGGGGATAAAGTTACAAAATGAAAATTATAAAAAATGTTATTATGTTTTCAACATTGAATAAACTCTGAGCTGCCTTTTTGAATCTATCCAAATAAATGAACATGTCACGATAAATTTATGGATCTTGTCTGGATTCGACCCACAGTTGTTTGATGGGATACCTTTTTCCAGCTCATTTTAACAAAGAAGCCTTTGTAAACTTTTAGATAAAATGATGTGAAGATTATAATGTTCGGCTTAACTATTAAACATGCAGTGAAAAGTATAGTTTTATTAAGATTACTTATTTTTTTTGATATTTAATAGGTTCGGGAAGGTCATCGCTTGGAAAAGCCAGAACATTGTAGAAGAGAACTATACAATATAATGTATTACTGTTGGGAAGAAGATCCAACATCGCGGCCTGACTTCAAGGAGGTTGTTGAAATGTTAGAAAAGTTATTATGTACTGAAATGGACTATATAGAACTTGAAAGATTTCCCGATCATTCCTATTATAATGTTCAACATTTGGATGGAGAAAAATTGTAATTATATATAAGTTCAATAGAGTTCAATAAATGGTGATTATTACAAATAATTTTATGTATTAACTGATTATAGTGTGCATTTTTGTGATTTGGAAATTTAAGGTATAATATTGAAAATCTATTTCCATTTATTCTATTCACATTGGGTTGACTATATAAATTTTTGTTGTATTTTATTTGAAAGTATAATTTCACTATCTTCGATAAGGGAACAGTATATTGTCATCACAGTATATATAAGGAAATCTATTCTATTTCTAAGTTTTATTAAATGTTTGACAAGTCATTAAACATATTTGATAGTGTTTTCAAAATAAAGATTTTATCAACATTTTAATTGTATCGGCTCTAATTTTCTTCCAAATCGTCAAAGAAGGACGTATTATGGATAATTACACAAAAACAATTTCACATGAATCGCTTATTTTAAAAGCTTTACTCGAATATTTAGGTTTTTCCTTAAGAATTTTTGTAATATCTATACTAATAAAAAGGAATTTTTAAAATATCTTTTCTAAGTACCTGTTATTAATCAAGTAAGATAATCATTTTAAATTCCAGGAAAAAGAAAATAAAAATAACAAGAATTTAATATTACAATTTTAATAAGTTTAATAAATGATAAAATTAAAGACAGAAAGCAAAAATCCACTCACATTAACAGTAATCATGTATTATAATATTTTTGATCAAGTTTTTAAAAGTCTGGCTCTGGTTTCCATATGATATTCCTTTCTTTTCTAATTAATGTTTAATAATGCACATATAATTTAGAATTTCAAAATTCTGTTACAGAATAGTCAAATACTATGTTTATTAACAATGAAAAGAGATTATATAGCTTGTAATTTTATTTTATTATATCAAATTTAGAAACTAGTCCTGCCAAATTTTTATACTTTTACTACCTATGTTAAACATTGTAAATAAACCATTGATTATCATAATATGATTATGTACTTTTATTAATAAATATAATTACACTGACTTGATTTTATTTTTGTTTAAATCATAAATTCTCTTCATAACTCTATTAAAGGTAAGTTTTTTAGAAGATTGTAACAAAAAACTTTGGATGATTGCTAGAGTCAATCTCGTTGAAAAATATCGTCAATAAGTCACTAGACAGAACTCAGCTCAATATTATAACATTTTTTTCAATAGTACGCGTTACATAGTATTTCCTTCATTACATATATACAGGGTGACTGGTGAATTACTATCGATATTTGAGGACGTGATTTGTGACGATCATATATGACAAAATAAAAATTAATATAACATAAATATTAATAAACTTCTAAGTAAAGTTAACCAAAAGTTATGTAATTAATTACGCATCGTGTAAACACCCTTCAGATTAGGTATACACCCACACTCACACATACGAGTGCGGCGGCGTTGTGTTGTATCAGCACGCCGCCGCACGCGCCCACACTTGGAACACTTGGAACGTGTCAACCCTTTATTTATTTATACGGAAATTTTGTCAAAAATGAAGTACCTATTTTGTTTACATAATTCGAATGAGAATCATGTACCGAGTATCCTCCTTAAATATTGATAGTAATTCACCAGTCACCCTGTATATATATATATAAAATATATAATAAAATCAGTGCAAAATATATATATATATATATATATATATATATATATATATATATATTTTGCACTGATTTTATTATGACACTAATTTATTGGAGTCATTTTTACAGTTCAATCAAGGGAGAATTTGAAGTGAACTAATATAGAATGACCTCAAATTTCTGATCATAACTGAGAAACTAAAGATACATGACTTTTTAAATAGTCATCTAACATAGAAAAGTAAACCTAATAAACCAAAAAATAAGCGTGAAAAATTAAAAGTAAGTTCATGTACATCAATAAAATGGTTTAATAAATTTGATCAAAGTAAACAAATTTTTTCAACAGATTGATATTCATGTGTTTATTTTAACGAACTCATATTTTCACGTAGGAACTAAATATAGCTAATTTATTTAGTTACGTTATGCCTAATGTAAATACACCAACTTTTTAATATATGTTTCTTTTATATTATTATCCTCATCAAATTAATAATTCCTCTTTTAAGAAAAGGTATTTATTCCTAAAAGGAAGAAGTAAGAAACTATCTGGGATTAAAAGGTTAGACACCTAACTCACTCTTTCAAGGATTATTAACATGAAATTAAATAAAACCCCACCACACGTCATGGCAATCTCATCAATAAATAATACATTCTCGACGCTTACGTAACAGCAAATTATACGACTATTTTGACAAATGACAATTTTCATTCCGTCAGTCTACTTTCAAATCGAAAATGGATAGGCTTCGACCAAATCTCTTGTCACCGAAAGCGAAGCGTTGCAAACTTGCCAACCAGTGACTCCAACAACTGTACCTAAAGCTTAAAGCATAACCAATTTTAGTAACAGACCTAACCGATTGTAGTCAAAAGTCTCAGTAAGGTGATCCACTCAAAATGCTATGCTAAAAATGTAATACAATTCGAGCTACGATTAAATAATATAAATACTCACTACCAACTTAATAAATGAGTGAAGCACTAAAGTTTCTAATATAAATATAACAATATACATGCATTATACTATAATTCCTTTTTTCAGTTTAACAAATTGTAGAGCAAATACTAGCCATGCCCTCAAACTCTGCCCTCAAACCTATCAAGTTGAAAATTGGGTGCAGAGAAAAATTTGCAACGCCAAAATACAATTTTAATATCCTTTTATCCCGGGTATTACAAGGAATTAGAAGAAAAATTCTAGTCTACATTATCTTAGAAGTATTAGTGAAATATTTTATGAAATATGTGAAGTTGTTTTTGGGTGAAAAAATAAATACATCCTTGCTAGATAGCTAATAGATATTTTTTACAAGGATTAAACTGCAAAATGCTAAGTTATCAGTAATACCTTTCTTTATGCCGTCGCCCAAATCCACCTATTAGTTTTATGCAATAATTTCAGCCATAAAATAAAATTTGGTCATTTCAAAAATCAAATTGTATTGTATATATTAGAACATCTCAGTATAATTCTAAACTAAGTAAAAATAGTTTTTTTCTGTGATCAATGACGACACTTTTTTTATATAAATTTATTAATTATAAACTTTTTTATATCTACTCAGTATTAAATAGGAAATTCAACATATTTATATATTAATAAAACTCTGAACGATGTATTTTAAAATTTCTTCATTATTTAATATTTTAAAAGGTTAAAAGTTTATTATATACATGAAAAAAACCTTTTATAATCAAATTGTTTTATAATCATATCAATTACAATTTTGAGGAAAATATATATCAACATGAAAAAATATTTTAATGGGGAGTAAGAGTTAATTAACTTACTGGAAAATATTTTAAAATATGTATTCCCGGAGTAATTACTTTGACTTAATTTTATTTTGGAGGAACAATTTTAAAACACCAATTTTTAATATTCCTTACTTTGTACTTAATATAATTACAGTCTAATATAATTTCTAAAATCAAAATAACTATTCCTGATACATAACCTATAGCTAAAATTAAAAATCCTCCTTGTATATGTTCCATTGATAATGCTTTTAGATTTTTATTGTTGCTAGACTTTTTAAATAGTTTTGCACGTTTTTTCATATTCAAAGATGCAAAATATCTTCTCAACATTGAATTGAGTCCCAGTTGCTTGTATATACTCAAAATACGCGAAATATTTTTCATAAAAGGAAAACCTTTTAAAGCAATCATTTCCATTGGAACTGTAAATGCATTAGTTTTGAATACGTAATAGTTATCTTTTCCAAGATCGTCTGTCAATTCAGGTATGACTGCAGATAAATGTGCCAGTTCCAAACGACTGCAAAGCACAGAGAAATTTCTATTGACCACTACATCTATTAATGCCTTTGAAATATTATGTATATGGATCCAATTCTCGCCAATCTTATTATCAAAAGTGTCACTTGAATTATAAAATAAATCATGTAGTTCTTCAGAACCTCCAAAGTTAAGTTGGCTGTGAATGAGTTCTTCTAATGTATGAATTTGATTTTCAAACTTGGGATTTAATAACACATCGATTAATTTGGTCTGGTATGCGGTTAGAAGTAAAATACTATAGATATTTAAAAACACATAAAATACCCTTAAGCTTTTTTGTACTGGTCGGACATAAGATGAAAAGCCCAATGAAGATATCCACGTATTCATAAAACAATGCATTAAAGACTTATTGTATTTCGTATCACAACTGATATGACCCAAAATTTTCCAAGTTATTACACAAATAAAAAATCCTGCAACAATGAAATACCACACGTGCTCATGAAAAGTGATTGTCAGAGCAATCCAACGTGGTGATGGATATGCTCGTGGAACAACCCATGCGTATGAATCTGATAAATATGTTAAACTACACTCAAAATCTTCATGTACATCAAAATCAGGAAATATACCTCCTAAAAGAACATATCCTTTTTTATCAACAAGTTGTTTCAATGCTCCGCTCCATTTTCCACTCTCATTTCTTTCACCTCTAAATTCGTTAATTATTTGATAATTCATAGAAAAGTTACTTTTTTTTAACAATTCATTTACCATTACCTGCTCTAAATTAGGATCATTGATATTTCTGCTGATAAAAGGCTGTCTTTCTAGAGCAAGCATGTACAAATTGCAACCATACATATTTTTAGGTACTCTATTCTCAAAGACACTTTTTCCAAATTTTAGAATGCCATTTTCACAGATGTTTTCCACCTCCAAACGATTTTCATTTGTTTCATTATCGTATCCACAATATTTTGGAGGGTCATAGGGTCTCCAGCTATAAATAAGCACTTTTCGCATCTTATAGTCCTTAACAGTGCATACTACTACTTTGATCACATTATATTTAAATAAAAAGTTTAAAATTTCTTGAATAACCATTCTTTTAATATTGTCTTCATTTATTAGATGACACAAAAATACAATGAATTTTGCGTCAGGGTTCCAGTATTTTGCTCTAATTATTTTGTTTGCAACTTGAAAGAAGTTTTCAGCATTATCAACTATTACTACAAAATAGTTTGCTGTTCTTATACGTTTATTTTCATTTAGATCTAAATGAAAATCACTTAGTACATTTATGTCTGACTTTTCACAGATAGCTATTTTAGATGGAACTACCATTTCTACAACAAAACAATTAGATTCGTGGATATATTTCAAGACCTGTTCCCTTAACTTTTCTACAAAGAAACTGCTGTTGTAAGATATTCCAAAGATTAATAAACCGGGCTTTTGAAAATCGTTTTTTATTAAAGAACTCACACAATTTACAAATTCCGTCACGATTGTTGGCCCTCTTTTATTTATTATACCATCACTTACTTTCGACATTACAATTATGAAAACTATAAACAAACGCATGATGTTTTATGAATAAAATGAATAAAAGTGACCTAAAATGAGTAGTGACGTACAATGCTATGGTTGTGTTACATGCACGTCCTATTTTTAATGTAATTATTATAATGGCGATTCCATGTATCATTATCAGTATCTAAAAAGATCTATTGCTTGTTATTAAAACAGTGTTATTTAAATATATAATCTCCTTTCAATAGTAAATAATTGCAAAATTGTAGTTAGTAAAATGTTTCACATTAATCAATTCTATTAATAATTTTAAAGTGTTTAAAACAATTTTATCTTAATGATACATATGTATTTCATTACGATTCCAATATGTTTTTAATTTTTATAGTAGTTTGTTCTTTAGTTCAGTTAGAAAATAAAAACCCTAAATATTTTTGCAAAAAAACTTACGATTTTTACATGGAACACAAACTGATTAAATTGTTATTTAATAACTATGATACACATATTATGATAAGATTAGTGATTTTAAACTTATAATTGGAGATTATAAATCCGGGTTTCTTCACGATGAAAAACTTTCAAAATAGGAGGTCTCAATTTCTGTATATACTTTTGTAAGTTTCTTACAACATAATGTTGCGAAAATCGAATAAAATTTAAGTTTTTTTTATTTGTCTAGCAAGTAAATCATTCATGAAGTGTTTAATATAAGTTTTATATCAAAATAGAGATCAAATTTTTTGAAAAGAAAACGGATAAAAACGAACAATTTTAGTCTTGATTCTTTCCACAAACTAACTGGCACCGACCTAAAATTTTTCAAACACATATAAACCCTGTAAACTACAAAAAAAGGTATGGAAAGAAGAGAAAATTTTTATGGAAAACCAACAAAATTACTGACACTTCTTTTAATATTAAGTGGAATAAATTATAATTATAAGTAATTTTTGAAATCGGTATCTTAGAAATTGACTTTGAACCCGGAGAGAAACATCACATTAACAACATGATGGCTATGTCTAGATGCAAAAAATATGTTTAAAATATTTTCCTTTCATAAGCTTTTAGAATAGAAAAACTAAAAACAATAATAATGCACCAAATACCAATATAAAAAAAAACAACACAAAATGGTTCATCCACAACCCTGCTTTCGAGTTTGTTCGCAATCAGTAAGACTCTTTAAAAAAAAGATATATGAAACGAAATTCTATAATGTATTTTTGACATATTTTAAGTCCCAATTTTAATATTAACAGATGAAACTTAAATATTAAAAGTTCATATGCTCCAATTTCTAAAAATAGCAAAACTAACCGCTGCTATTGCTTCTAAATAAAAGCTAGTATCATAAAACTCACCAAGCCTTAATATTTGATATGTTTTAAATAAATACATGTGAAGTGTATATAAACGCAAGTCAGGTTGGTCCGAAACAAACATCTGCGTGTACTGATAGGATTTATTTTGGTTTGCACAAATTTGTCAAAGCTTCGACTTCACTTGTTTAACATATATAACAGAATGACCTGGCGGATGTCGCTGTGTAGGCCTCACATTTCTCTCAATTGGTACACTATCGGCGCCTTCCAATTGTCTTAAAAGTCCCAGCTGCAAACAACATTAATGTAAGGAAAACGTTTAATAAACTACAACCATTGCCCCAGAAAAGTCTGTGAAGTGATAAAAATGAGTATTACCCTAGAAAATAACTATAAATTATAGTTTAAAGATGACAGCTGAGAGACGGATACTGTTTACAATTCATTTCACAATAAAAATATTACTAACGCTACAGGATCATAACATATTAAACGCATTATTTTCATTTTTATAGCGTACTAATCTTTACAATAAATTATTGTTTAATATTCCGAGAACAAGAATGTTAAATTAATAAAATTATTATATTAATATTCTTTGAAAACATGTAGATTTTAGGAAAGTTCTTGGAAGTTAACAACCTACATTCCTTGTTTGTCTAATATGCTATAATATTTACCGAAGCAATTACGTAAGATATTATATTATAGGTTCATATACAATACCAATGAAGCTCTATAAATGAAAGAAGTTATTTGTCCTTTTTCTACAGTCATGAGCATAAAATGTGATCTGAATTAAAAATGTGTTAATGAATTAAATGTAACAGATACGGATATCAGATACTTTATTCAATAATCTGTATGATAATAGTAGAAAGATAATAATTATATAATTGTTGTTTTTTACCTGTTCGCTACCAATTTGTACTGCTTTCTCGTAAATGATCCACGTGACACATTCTCCATAAGGCGGCGTGGTTAAAGATCCTTTGTAAGTGACGTAGCTACCGTTTGTCACATCCTCTCTGTTCATCCAAGCCAAAGACTCTGTAGTAAAAAATATTTTTTTTATTAATAATTATAACCATATCTTGCTGTCTCTTGTAGGGTCTCAGAATTATCTTGAGTAAGAAACTGATGTATGATGTGGATTCGGTAATAATTTTAATTGATATATCCAATGTCAACCTTTCGAGTAAAAGGCATCTATTATTACGATAAGTAACATTATTGACTCTGAAGACATAAATAAAATGAAAGTTTCACAATTTTTGTCAATCTGTCTATTTATTCCGGTTAATCTTAATATACAGCTGGTATGCAACAATTTCGACGGAAATTAACATGGAGACAACTTAAATTACCTATATTTTAGATTTTTGTTTATTGTTATAAATAATATAAAAAAACTATACCGAATAAAAAAAATTTAAGTTACAACTAGTAATTAGTTTAAGTCGGCATCCATTGTTGTACACCTTAACAACTAATAATGTTTTAAAAATCCTAGCTTGTTTAATACTTATTGTTTTCGGCCTTTCTGAGATGTCTGACTGGTTGTTATCGGTCGTGATCGTTATAACTTTGAAATTACACATTTTAAATATCTTTTATTTACTACTTTCGAGAAAAAAGTAGCTTTAGTTATTATTTGATTTAATTCGCAATAAAAGTCCCTTCAAAATCGGTCCAGACGTTTTAGAGTTTAGCCGAAACAAACAGGCAGACCGATAAAAATTGTAAAAAATATTATTTTCTTGTATTTACCGTACATATATTTTTAAGTAAATTTAATTTTTACCTATGATAAACAAATAAATCATGACAAAAGCATATCTTATCATAAAAAAAAACAAAATGTATGCACTTGACTAATACAAATATTGACAAATTTAAACGAGTGCTCTATTTATCATACACAAATATTATCAGAACAAAATAGTATGTAATACAACAATATAGCGAAAATCAAAGCCTTCCGTTAGATTAAAAATTATTATTACTTTCACGCACCCTACAAATATAAGGATTTTTGAAGTATTTTTTACAGTAATGAGATCTAAGATTTTCGCGATATTTATACATTTATATGAAACTAATATTTTTTACAGTAATTAGTAGAGAAGAAGAGAGTAAAAGTTGGGGCTATATCAAAGTTAACCAGAAATCTGTAACAAACCTGCTGATAGAGCAACACTGTGATCCGGTTTCTTAATCTGTTCTAAACCCTCAATGAACATGTCAAAGTTCGGGTTCGGTGCATCAACAGCTTCCAATAAATATCCAACTACAGCCAAACCATCTGCGTGAGGCACAGCTGCCTCTAGTGACTGGTATTTACTATTGTAATGTACAAGGTGGCATTCTGCGGCGTAACTAGAAATGTATACACAATATCAAATGCAAAAACACTGTTATGAGATGTTTGTCTTATAAAAGAATTTTGGTGTACAGTATAAACATAATATGTTGGCTTGTCATTTCCATTGTGAAAAACTACAAAAAAAATTGAAGTACAAAGTAAAGTAAAAATATCTGAAATTTGTAAGTATATTTTTGCTAGAAATCTTTCAAATATATATACATACATTATTTACGCACTATTTATTTATTACACAGCTTCTCTTTATGGGATTCAATTTGTTTCGTAATAGGTTTCTGTTCTAATTTAATTATAAGCAAACAAATAGTTTCGTGTTTGTAGCAGTTGTTTTAATAAATTATTAGAGAACTAATAGCACTACCAAAAGAGACAAGTTTAATGTCGCCGTTTGACAAGAGTTGTCCTCTATACATCAATATTAATATTTCTTAGTTTAGCACTCAAAAATATAAATATGCATTTATTTAGAATTCTAAGCAGAAATACTACATTTATTGTTAATTACTTTTCATACTGAACCTTAAAAAAGTAAGTTAAGCTCACTGTGATGGAAAATCCTTTAGGAGTAAGTAATTATTTTAATTTTATTTCATTTATTCTTTTACTAACAAATTCTTTAGTGTTACTTCTTTTTCTTTTCAAATATTACTAAAGATATATTCTTTTTTTAAATAATTTAAAGTAATCTCATGTAAATAATGAGTAATTAAAGTAAGATCCGTAATAATAATATCTTAGTTTCACAATATATAATATTTGAAAGTCAAATGTATTTGCGTGTAATTTATTTTAACACGAATGCGGCTTGAAATATAGTTCACAAGATTTATTATATTATAACCGTCATGTGGCTTAATTTATATTTTAGTATAATACATAAATCAAAATAATTTGGATATGTTACAAATTTGTTAAATTTATATCTGCTTATATTATATGGGATTTTCTTTAACTTAGTTAGGAATTACTGAAAACTATGGGCTCGTCTAACAATATATGACGATATTTTATCCCAAAAATATGCTGTTAATAATATATAATTAATTAATTATATCAACCAACTTGTTTAAAACGTATAGTATTCAACTTTGTCAGTATTGACTACAATGGTGTTTCATTTCATTATAATAATTACGGCCGCAATGTTTAACAGGCTTCATTTTGACTTCGAATATCAATATTTATTTATTTTAAAACATATCTTATTCAGTATAAAAATTTAACCACGTAATTTGGCTTTTTTAATGCTTTAACGATTAAATTTATAATCAGTTAAAAGGTTAATCTAATTAGCAAATTTAAAAATGTCGAACCTAATAAAATATCATGTGTAGTAAAAACAATAGAAAATAAACATCTCACATATAAAATCGTTTTATTTTACGGGAAAAGCCAACAAAGGAACATTAGCGATTCACGACATCGGTGAGAATGAGACTAATGAATTGACCTGAAGCATTGTAACACCTTTAACATAATTTGAGTATCGTTTAAGGGTTTAAACGCCAATGAATAAAAGGTTTGAATTTTATATAAAGTAAAGGATATTCCTTAATTAATAATTCAAATACTGAGCAGATCATAACAAAAGATTTTCTTATGATCTGAAGCTTGACAAGAAAATTGTTTATTTATTCTAGAGCATATTGTACTAACTTGTAAGTTACTTTTGCTTTTAAGGTAATTTTGCTGTAATGATTGCTTTTTAATATTAATACAAAAGAAGTGACGAGATAATGTAAATAATAATTTATTACTCACCCGTGACCGTCAAGGACATGTTCGCATCCTGTGAAATCGTCAACCGACCAGTGGAAGTGCATTTGTTCAAAAATATATTCACCAATAAGTGGACCTCCGCTTAGCCGCGGCCGAGATGGTGTGTCGAATGTAAAATAAGCTGAAGAAATCAAAAAGTATGTATTAAAAGAAATATATTGAAAATTAATTGAAACTATTTCCCAATCTTATGATTAAGATAAATGATTGGTTATTGATATTTGTAGCTCCTTTGATCAATTACATATTGAATTCGGAATAAGAAAGATGTTATCATTAATATTGCAATATATAGGAAGAGACGTGCAGGCCATCACTAAATGATATATCCGGAATTATTGAATAACGTTAGCGTTGGTTGTGGCATGAATATTTGATGAAATCATTTGTTTTTCTTTCGCTTACTTTTAATTTCTCGAGAGACTAAGGCTATTAGTGAGAATTCGTAATGAAATGAATCTCAGTAGAAAAATCTTTTTGTACATTTATTTATATAATTTTTAATTTATCATTTATTTACTAGTAACGTTATCGACTTTGATACTTTATAATAAAATTATATGATACATAGATACAACACATAAATACGTCTTCAGACGTAGTTAAGTGGTATAATCCGGAAAAATGGTTACATTTTATCTTGAAGACTGTCATAGTAGCTATATACTATCTTAGAAACTATTATATTCGTGTTTATCAAAGTCAGTTAGCTAAAGCTACTTGATATAAAGATTAATAAACTTATCTTGAAATATGATATACAAAAATTTACCTATTTGGCAGCTATGACGAAATTCTTTTATAGTGTAAATGATATTATGTGGGAATTCCAATATGGTGTTTTGCTTAACTCTCAAAAAAATTGTGATAAATTTTATAAATTATACTTGTATGTTTTATAAATTGATAAGATAGAATATCGCTCAAGTATAATTTGACGAAGCATTTATGTAAAGTAAGCATTTATAAAACACAAAATAAATTTATCTTCCATTTAGATATAAAAGAATTAATAAATACACCAAACCCCTACATCCCTTATGTATACAAAAAGAGGATTTTGAAAGACTACAATAGTACTTCAGAGTATATTTCAGAGTACAATAGAACAAATAAGTTTATTTGATAAAGTAAAATTAATTTTAACAGCACTCACCTGTTTGTCCAGTATTGACAAGAATGCCATCGGAATCATTGTCCCAATATCCTTTAAATACTAGAGGATCTAAAGAGGACCAAGTGGGGCATCGTTGAAGCGAAATTGCAATCGGCGACTGTGATGCTCTGAGCTTTGATATTTGTTCGGCTGTCAATTAAATAACTATATTTGTTAAATCCACACTTAAAATATGAAAATTTCGAAACAAACCAATTTAAATATTAGAAGAAACTTCAAGTGCACTTTAAAAGCATAGAATGATTAAAATAAGCGCTTTGAATTCGTGCTCGAACAATTTTGAATTTAGACATTTGTTATAAAGATTTTCTTTCGCCTACAATGTTATCTGAAATTCTTCTATTCTTTATTTTCTATAGACTGATTGACCCCATTGACCTTAAAAGTCATTGTTACAATATTACATAACACATTAATAGGTTTTAGGGTGCTAATGTAAGAATTAATGTTGGGAACCTCGGTTTAATAGAATGTTGACTATCCAGTTTAATTAAAGTTAAGGTAAATAAACGTAAACTATATTGAGAAACAAGACACAGAGAGATAGAAAGAGAGAACAAACCCTATATTCATTTCCTCTATCTTCCTCTTGTAATAGGATTTTTACAGATAAAAACATGTTTGTAGTGTACGCAGGGCATGTGTAGTACATACATCATACTACTTGATGTACTATGTTTAAATTATTCAATAAAACAAATGTTTTTACGTAACAATTATAAACGAAAACAATTATGCTTGATTTGGTTGATTGGATTCTAAGAAATGGTATTTTCAAATTGAAAATACAATAATTTTAGGTTAAAATAGGGAATACTCACTAAGGAGAGAAAGACTACAAATGTGTAAATTACATTGTCAAATAGATAATGTATCATAAGGAATATAATGTAATATCGTATTAATTATTTTGAAGTTATTTTCAAAACAATATACAAGTAAGCTTTTCAGTTCTAAACAGGAAATAAAACTTATGAAAAAAAAATTCTTTATCGATTACGGGAAAATAAAAACAGCGAAAAACATTTTGTACGATATTTAAAAATCAAAAAGAAATAATTAGGAGCAAAAGAAAAAATTTTTATCATCGGGGACACTGCAAATTCTCGTAACTAGCATTGGATAATAGCGAATAGCTACAGTTGAATCAGACTGACTGACGTGCTGGCTGGGACGCCTCCCTGGGAACTGGATGCCCAGGTTCTGGCGGAGGCTTACCACCAGCGCGCGCGAGATCGATCCCGGGGAACGAGTCCGGACCGGGATCGGGTGGATAGTTGGCGACGATCTGCGCGGTCGTCCTTGTTCCATCGGTGGAGGCAAAGGCTCTCTGAGCCAGTGGCCGGGTTGCGAACCGTGGAGGCTATTCGCCCGCTCCTCATGGAGTGGGTGGACCGCCGACACGGATCCTTGACCTTCCGGCTTGTGCAGATCCTCTCGGGGCACGGTTGCTTCGGGAGGTATTTGTGCCACATAGTCGGGAGAGAGCCGACAGCGACGTGTCACCACTGCAGTCGCGTGGAAGACAGCGCTGACCACACCTTGATGGAATGTCCAGCGTGGATATCCGAGCGTAGCCAACTCATCCGCGTGGTTGGCGCAGACCTTTCGTTGCCGGCAGTGGTCCAGGCCATGGTCGGCAGCGAGAGGGCATGGCAGGCGGTGGCCGACTTCAGCGAGAGAGTCATCTCGCAGAAGGAGGCTGCTGAACGAGTGAGGGAAGACGACCCCTCCTCGGCGCCGCTGCGCCGACGAAGGCTGGGTCGAAGGCAGCGGGCTTATGCTCGCGACCTGCCTCCCCAGTGAGGAAGCCTCCGGGCGTTGGTGGGGAACCGGCGTCCGGGTAACATAGGCTAGAGGAAGAGCGGCGTGTTTGGCGTTCCCGGCACGCTGCTCTTGAGTCGGAGGGGTGGTGTGGTCAGCCACTGATACCCCTGCCGATGGCGGAGTCCCTTTCGGGACTCGTGCGTAGTGAGCGGAAGTATGGCTTGCCGTTCCCGCTCACTAGTCTACGCACAGCGCAGAGAACGTCGAGGTGGTTTAGTGGGTGGAAATCCCACATGCCCCTGTCGCGTTTCCCCCGCGGCAGGAAGTCTTTAAAAGATTCCCCTCGTAGAAAAAAAAAAAAAAAAAAAAAGACTGACTGAGGAAAGTTTAAACTTAATAATTTCATAAATCAATTTTAGGCCTTTTTTCATACTGAAGATAATTAAAATTCATAAATTATTAGTCATTGTGAAAAAATTACCTTAAAGGATATAAAATTTATAAAATTGTTAAGTTTTATGCTTCAAAAATTGTGACAATCTGTTTCTGATGCAGAAACGCGGACTTATCCAATATTAGTCACGCGGATTTCCACTATATATACATTACTATTTTAGTGTCATTTAAAAAATACTTAGATTTGTATCATTTGTTTATCATTGCGTCACATATTTATCTTTGTGATGATAAACTATAAAATTTTTAGTCAACATAAAAATCATAGATATAAGAAGTAACTGATAGATCAAATTTTGTTACAGAATTTATACTATGAAGAAGACTACAATAAATTAGACCAAATATGATAATAATAGACAATATGCTCATATCTTCACAGATGATTACATTTGGTTATACTGTGAACAATTTCGTTTATCTCTTCCGTATTAGAATATTTGAAACAAGTCAGATTAGAAAATATTGTTTCATAACCGACAAGGCCAATTTAGTTTAAAAAAGAACAAAGCTATTCACGATTTACTAAACACTGTTGTGTAACAAATATTTAACAACGTCCCTTATGAATGATATACTGTGGACCCAAAAGCTACCATGTTTACGTTATTCGTAAACGTCAAGAGAACAAGATCGATCTTCGTAGAATTTTAAAAATATTTGTAAACATACAGAGAATGATTTAGAATACAGGTATTTTTTTCTACAGGTACACTTCTATTGATTGCAAGTTTATTGTATACAATTTATACGTGACAAAAGTCTCAAGTAAAAGTAAGCACCATAATAAAAAAAGGTTAGAAGAAAAGGACAACATAACCAAAATGGTTCTTATATTTACAGTAACAGCGTGTTATTTTAGAAACTACCTTTACGTGACATCTAATATTTGTAGCAATTTTTATTTTACATCTTATTTTGTTTATGTGTGAAATGTAAAACATTAACATTCCATAATGAACAAGACTTGGATATGATAGAATTCAATTAATTAGTGTTAGTCTTTGACAACACTTCTGCGTTTATCTCAATGTATTTTTAAATAGTTTTTATTAAATGATAATTACAAGTGCATTTATTATAATTCATATAATTATCGTGTACACAAATATTATAATCTATTATAACTTACCATCTGAAGCGACGGTATTTGATGCGCTCACTTTTAAGCAATGTGATTTGGATTTCATCCTTAATAACCACCACTTGTACTATACTCTAGTAAAACATAAAAACTGATGAAAAATTTAATATATCCGAAATCGAAACAACGAAGATTAGATATACTTATCCTATTATCATTTAAAATTATTTGGTGACAAAATTTTTATGTAAAACGGTCTCATTTTGTGATAACGAAATGTTTGATTTAATTTTTTTTGATAAAGGAAAATAAATTAATATGTTTACGTTCCTGAAACATTAACATTGAGATATATCTACGTTTATAAACAAATCTATGATTATATCACATCAACCGTATAATTATTATTAGCCTTTGATGCTACTATGCAAAGGGGCGGTTTAATTTGGTACAGAAACTGTTTATTTAAACCACAAACACCTGAATATTAATGAATAACATAATTTCCTTACTAAATATGTAATCAACATAGTAACAAAAAGTATATAAAATAAAAACAGTATAAATATTTAGTTTACTTTAGTTATGTTTCAATTTATATAGCTTATGGAAAAAATAAAAAATCTAACGTAATTATAACAACACTTATTACAGTAGTAGTACTATTATGGTATTTTAGTTATTAAGATTTATGTGAAAGCAATACTAATAAAAAGAATAAATTATTATTTAAAAAATATGGAGCATTATAATTTTTTTAGTAATAAACAATTTAACCTTTGAGAATTTATAGAATTTGTATCTTGCTTATCAAATTATTCGGATTAAGTTAACACCTCGATTTATCATTTTTATCTTTCAGTAAGCTGTTTAGAAATGTAAAAATTGTAAAAACCTGACATTAAGGAAGGGAAGAGGTTTTGTATAAATCAGGTATTATTTTAACGGTTCAGAATATAATACTGTTTATTTATAGAACACGCAAAATACATTACCATAATCGTATTAAAATTTTTGGCAAAAATCTTCCGTAAACAAACGTGCATGTCTAAAAAGTGGCTCATTTTTATGCCTTATCTTATTTTCTTCATGAATATTATTTAGATAGATTCATTAATGAAAAAATTTTTGTGGTGTTGCTTTTAGAAAAGTTCTTAACAAAAAATTTACACAACTGAAATGTAGAAAATTTTATGAACAAATAACGTGATCGATAGAGACTGAATGATTGATTAGATAGTTTAAAAATTACCAATGTAATGAGACGATATGTCAGAAAATAGACTTTAAGATTCCTTCTCAAAATAAGCACTCACAGATTTTGGTATAGAAATCAACATGAAACTTTTCATGTATAAAAATATATAAAATTAACTTTGATACAATTCTGAAGGATCAGTGAAAAGAAAAATGATAAAAACTGCTTAAATAAACAGGTAGATAACGCTGTAAAAACTGTTGAAAATGTAAATGGACATATACCATTAATACCCATTGTAATTGTAGCTAGAAAAACAATCATCTTTTAATATCTAAGTTGCTCTTTGGAATCTATATCGTTGGAATAACTGTGACGACATGAGATTAGTGTGTTATCTTATCTTATTGTCTATTGTATAATACAAACAAATCTAACGAGTAAAAATACAACTATATTTTAATAAACATCCCAAAAACTGTAAGGATTACACCATTTTGAACCAAACGCGTTGTACAAAATTTTAAAACCATTCACATAAAAACTTTTCCTAAACTAATAAAATAAGTATAAAAAAATTCAGTGTTCACCCGAAGATTTCGATTAGATTACTGGCGCCTTCGAAATTAAATCGATTGTACTGAGACCATTCTTCAAAAGCGATTCGTTTCGTTGTGAATTTCTTTTTTTATTTTGATATTTTAAATGCAGTTCCAATTTTCTTGTTGCATTAAGTGTAACTTTAAGGTAGATTAATTGATAGAATTTTGAAAATCGCTCCATTATACACATTACAACCCATTGAATAGGATTTAAAAACAGAAGATATTAGGTTTGTACATTCTATATATATTATTTTAATTATATTATAAAGGATAAACAAAGACAGATTATAAGCTTAATCGTATCCGTAAAAGTGCATTCACTTAATTATTCACACCAACGATCGATATCGCCTTCTCGTGGTCGCCTGATCGATAAAACTTCGTATTGACTTACTTATTAATGTTCAGTTGTTTGGGCTTCCATACCTCTAAATTAAAAATAAGAAATACGACTAAAACTAATAATACCTACATATATCAAAATATTTTTTTAATAACAGTTGCCTGGAAACCAATCCACAGATATGAGATATTAAAAAACTTTCGTTTCGCTTTCTTGAATAGGAATAAGGAAAATAATATCTATCTAATAATTGTAAGTATATGTTTGTTAGCATGTCGTGCATACGGTCCGTTCAAGACAGTTTTATTATTTTTTTTGTTATAATTTTATTAACATATACTCTACTAAAAATATCAAAAACGCTATTTATTATTTGTATCTAATTCTACATAATTCGGCTCCAGGGATATAATCATGAATATGAAATCTGTAAAAGAATTTATAGTAATGGGAGGTTTTCAAAACATTATAACAATTGCATTTCATAAAGAGGTTGTTATAAAATCGTTGGCTATAATGTTAATAAATGATCATATTTATCTCAACCTGCGATTTCCCATGGGAGAAGGAAAGTAATTAAGTTGTTTTTCGTTACTGGTATATTCAATGATTATAATAATCAACATAAAATATATAAGAACACAAAATAAAATCTTTATTTAACGAAGTGCTAAAAGCGTAATATTTTTAGTTTTGTTCTTCTTGAAATTGTAAGGTATTTTCATATTAATATTTTCTTTATTACTTTTAACATGTATTTCATCAGATCTTTTTTTTTCAAAATAGACATTAAAATTCTTCTTGATAATTTTTAATATATTTTAACTAAACGTATGTATCATTACTGCTCAAAAATATTTGTGTTATTCAGCTTTTAACTATTTAATAACATTATGTATTGTTTTTGGAATATAACATTCTTCTGATTCATTTCTTCCCCTTAATAATATTATATATAATAATAAAACAATAAATTATATATAATAAAACATTTTCAAAGGCTAGAAAATACCATGGGCTATCATTAAGACAATATAAACCAAAGTAATTGATGGGAATATTTTAAGTGAATTATTTCTCCTAAACCAAATTATTCAAGAGTCTCTCATTCTACAACTAATTGATTAATACCCAATTGAATGTCAATGAATAAATTGAAAATATTCTATTTTCGTCCAAAGTCCAATAGCTCAGCAACAAATTGTGTAACCAACAAAGTAACTGACTTAAAGCGAACTGCGAAGTGTACAATTATATAATTAAAAGTACCTATAATATTTTTAAAATCTGAAGAAAATGGTGTATAAAAATATAATGGTCTTTTCTTTCATAATACTTATGGGGTTTAAATTAAGAATAGTAATGCATGTTACTTATTTTGAAATAATGGTAATAAGAAATTTCTAGCTTTAATTTGGTTTTTTTATTATTTTGTCAATCGGTACAAAGATTCCTCAATTCGTTTTTTTTTTTCTCCTTCTTTTCCATACGTGTATTTTTTAACCATATTGTAGTTACTGAACTAATAAAAATATTTATTCAAAACCCGTTTAAATACACATTGAAGGTATTTCTGTAGAAGGTAGGGACCGTCGTAAGGAACCGACAAGTACTGCCGATATATCACTCAACGTAACCCCCGTAAATTAGAAAGGGAGTTAAAGCTGGAATAAAATGCAGGATAATATAGCACGTGATATAAAAGTCATGATATCAAACGAAAAGCGGTCCCAACAATTGAAAATGAATGGAAAATTGTTTAAATTATAATAACAATAATTATCAAAAATAAAATGACGTTAGACCTAACAACTTATTTATTGTGTTACTTTATTCGATGCTAAAGTTTCTTTAGTTTTAATATAATACTAATGTTAGACTCAATTTCTGCAACAATTACATATGAAATGTTTAAGGGAACTTTGAGAAACTGAATGGTTTTCTATTGGCCTTTGCCGATAACATACTTCTAAATGTATAGTAGTCCCTATAATAAATGACCCGACCTTTTTAACTTCGATCCTATGAAATCTGAATATATTTAAGTACGCAATACGCAAATTTCATTCTTATTACGAATTTGATAAATAAAAATTAATTTTAGGGATTTCTAAAGATATCTCAAATTAAAAACAAGACTTTTTAATATTCATTGGTGTAAAAGAAAAAACTATCAGTAATTAAAAATTAATTAATCGAAATATTTATTTTTTATTCTTTCTTGTTGAACGTAGACTTAACTTTGCTTTGTCTAGTTTCTTATTCTACTGAAAATTACCTTACATAATATATTTACTACAAAACAATCAAAATTAAATTTAATGCTATTTCAAAATACTAGGGGCTTTGGGGATCACTTTAATAACATATTTCTTAAAGGTTTTGCTGTCATTTTGGTACTCATTGAAATTAAGAAGCTGTTTTTAACCAACTTTTAGAATACAGATGCGGTATTAAAACCATTTATTTCCTTGAACTTAAGCATGTTGTCGTGAATTTATAACGATGTCTGTCTAAATACTTTTTATTATATCATACTAGTAAACCCGGCGAACTCCGTTTCGCCACCAGAAGGCTTCGTTTTATGTAACGATTTGTTTGATAATTAAAAGATGAAGATTTTTTTTTGTTTTATATTTGAAAAGGAAAAATTTTATTTCATTTCACAACAGTAATGACTTCATTTCGATTACAAAAATGAAGTGTTATTTAGTTTAACCTCTCTAAGTAAATGAAAGTGAATCCAAAGTAAATACTGAATCGAAGCATTATGAGTGTCCGCAAATTATCCGTTTCATTGAAGTGCTCTTTAGTAAACCACATTTTTTGTTGTTTGGTCTGACGTTAACACAAACAAAGCGGATGGTTTCCTTACTCGTGAACACGCAAAGTATAACTTCCCATGTGAAAAACAATGATTTTCAAAATTTATCCCGAAAATACTAAAAGGTTTTTAAGAGTTTAAACTACAAACACAATACCGGTTTGCACTTGAAATTAACTGAGCAAAGAATAATGAGTAGCTGTCAAACAATGTTTCATGCACCGACGCCATCTAGTTAAAATATTGATTTGTAGTAAGTACATGTTAGGTATCAGAGAAGGCGCCATATGTGATAAAAATTGTCCTGCTTTTCTATTGTAATTTTTCCTGATTTTTTTTTGCTATAAACCTCACAGAGCCCGAGATCTTTCGAACGAATGCAAAACTGTGAAAATCGGTTCGTGCGTTCTGGAGTTATAGCGTCAGGAAGGAAAACCGGAATTTTAGAGGTGGTAGAGCCTAGCTGTGGTTAAGTTACTACAGCTCTAACATGGGCTGGCTCGACCGGGGAAGTGCCACCATCTCACAGAAGATCGGCGTGAAGTAGCCTTAGTTGCTACGTTTCGTTCGATGAGTGAGAGAGCCGGTTGCTCTTTCCCTTTTTCCCATCCTTTCCTACCCCTTCCCATTTTCCTTCCCTTACCATTTTTCCTTCCCCTCTTCCCAAGTCAAGGGTGGTGACACATCCGCAACATGTCTTATGTCGCGGATGTCCATGGGCGACGGTACTACCACCATCAGGTAGGCCGTCTGCTCGGTTGCCCCCTTTAACATAAAAAAAAAAAAACTTTTTTTATATAGTAAGGAAGGATATGTAACTAATTTTGACATCAATGTGAAGAGGTCATTCCTATCATTCCTCCCAGGAATTATATTCCCCTTATCTAAAGACATACTTTTATTAGAAAAAATTTACTAACAGTGAAAAATACCTTACCTATTTTCATTAAAACCTACGGTTATGAAAAAAGGTGCTGACATATTATTTCCTTTACACAATATGTGTATTATTTTGTGCACATTTAATCCATTCATCGATGAACAGAAAGCTCTTCCTTATTTTAGAAAAGTTACTGACCTCTAAAATGCTGATGATGATAATAAAAAATCATATACGCTTATTCAGTCCCGAAGACATCAATATCCAAAGGCTAAAGTAATAAAAAATACTTCGGAAAGAAACATTTCCTATAATATCACTCACCAGAAATTCGGTTATCGAGTATAAAGAATTAATGGAATGTTACTCATCTCTGGTGTAAAATATGCCTTATATTATGGAGAATTTCTCTATATGTAACAAATCCTATGGTAGAATTTGTTTCCTCTGCCTAAAATAAAGCATTTGAAATTATAAATTTCCTTTGAATAAATTTAATCAGTACTACATTGGTATTTGGTATATGCACTGAAATAATGACACACACTAAATATTCAGTATCACGTAGATGTGATTTATACAAATTTCAGTAAGTTCTCTAAAAATGTGTGTCAGAAAATATTAGAATATTCTTCCTCTGACCTACTTCAAGTATCCGATATAACAAATACTAGTGGAAAATAACAATATAACTATAATATATCTAAACGTATATCGTGAATAAATAAATGAGACAGCTTTTCTATGCTAAATAAGACAAAAATTGGGAGTTATTACAGGTGAAGCACCGTTTATTACTTCACTCGCATTAAATTTCTTCATACACTTGCCTTAACGCAAAGTATATTAAAACGCCTAAAACATTTCGATTCTATTTTTATACTAATAAAAATGATGACGGACAATTTTAAAGTAGTCGAATTGTATATATTTGTTCTTTGCATGGGAAACTGTAAAAGGCTAAAGAAATTATTCTATTTCATATAATTCGTATATATATTGATATCAGTTGTAGGTATAGGGATAAAATTATTCAACTATTTAGTCTCCCATTAGAAAAAATCCTAACTTTACGGAGACTGACATAAGTTAATGAAGTACATTTTCTTCATTAAAGCTACGCAAACCTCGACATAGTCGGGCTTATAAGGTGGGTCGAATGAAAAATCTTCCTCAAAACTGTCAGTTATGAGTCTGGAACACAGCAAAGACAAGCTATGGTTGTAATAAGAATGTTATATTTGCCTCACTGGCGGCTACAAGCGACAGACAATTTTCCGCTCTTCCTAGCAGGTACTTCGTAAAACATTTCTTGACTTAAAGAAATAACCTTTAAACTAAAACTGTTCAGGAAGACATAGTATACTTTAAAATACAATTTCTATGCTTCACAAATTAAATTTCATCTTTTTGACACAAATTATTTTTCATCCCATAAAACTTTTTTGTTTGAATTGATTTAAATCTCCTTAAGAACTCCTTGGCTTTAGGGATTTATATTTGGAAAATATTTTACATTTTCTTTAAAACACTTATTAAAAATATATAAGAATACTCGACGAAAACAAAAGTAAGAAAATAATAGAAAACTTTTAAAAAACTAAGGAATTTTAATGAAAATAATAGACTCTTCTATCGTTAAGAGACTGCGGTTCTCTAAGACAAGATCCCACATGATCTTCTTCGAAAATACTGCTAGCTGCATCCATAGCCTTCTGGAATATGAAACACACATTTTCAAATAACCATATTAAACGCCTAGCTTGTGAAAATACAAGTTAAATCGGTAATAATTTAACACGCATTATTAATATTTGAGTTCATTAAGTTAAATAATTTCTTACCCTTGTAATAGGTAAAGCCTTCGCTCTTATTAACCACAAAACCGATTCAGTGCAAGGGGGAAAAGTTAATGAGCCCTGATAACATGCGTATTGCTGTAAGGGAGGGCTGAAGAAGCCTAATGGTAGAAGTGACATGGAAGTATTAAAGCGTTTGGAGCCCGCTTTTAGTAATTCTTCCAAGCCTTGCTGTGTGTGGTTGTCGTACTGAAAAAATACATGTATATATAGTAAATGCTTACAATTACTCATTTTAACTCCATAAATAACTCCATTAAATATTTTAGTATAGATTAGCTCAGAAATAATTAGTAATATAAATTAAATTAGAATCATAACACAACATTATAACATCTATTATAGAAAAAACACTTAAAAAGGTCTTGTTTTTGTTTCTTACTTTTTCAGTTGATTTGGTTAAAACTAATAGTTCCATACATATACATACATAATATATGTTTATAAAATTATGTACATATATTAACATCCAAATTAAAATAATATCTCAAATAGTTTATATTTCCAATCAGATTAAGGTAAACTCAAATTAACTTACTGCCAACATATTAAGATACCTCTGAAATTAATTCTAGCAAGAAATTTGGTTACTATTAGAACGCAATTTAAGTTAAGAGTTATAAAGTAATTATCAGCAATTTCAGATAACGATTTGATAAAATCAAACTTTAACGAACACCTGACAGACAATTCCCAAAACTAGAATTATTTTTCTGATTCCTATCAGAAAGTTGAAAATAAATTTTTGATTTAGGCTTAGCAATAAGAGTGTTTTTTACCTCAGTAAAACTTTGAAAAAGTTTGAGCAAGACTGATAAAGTATTTAACAATAATGTTTTCTTATTATTTACTTTTTTAGAAAATATCTAAAAAACTCTAATTAAATTAACATAATTAAGGTATAGATTTTTTGTCTCACCGCTTGTTATAAGCGTTTATTTTAAGAATTAAGTACAGAGTTTTATTAAATAACAAACATACAGAGACCCACGCACTTTTGAATTCATTGGTAAGGTTATGTAGTATTCTAAAATTATATTTGGCTATAATTTTTAGTAAGTTTTAAGCAAATAGCGTAACTACTTATCCCATATTACCAAAATAGGATCACTTATAGCATTTTCTTATAGAAATAAAAATTGAAACTGAACCGTTCTTTACAAACAATATACTTTAAGAGACAAATTGGTTATAGTAGGGGAGCCCACGATGCTAAATGGGGATTTACTCGAGCGTCGTAGAGACCTATTGGGATGCAAAGCTTAGATGATAAGAAGAAAAAAATGTTATATGATATATACCTTTACATCGGTGGGGGAAGCGGCTATAGATTTTTAAATATGCAAAAAAAAAACTGTTACATGGACATCCTCGAGCGCGTCAGATATTGATAGCATCGATGCCCTACGTATTTTTAATAATGTACGTATGTTAATCTGATCGTTTTCATGATGCGGGTGGTTGTATTTAAGGGTTGAAAATGAAAAAAAAAAATTTTGTCGAGCGCGTCAGATTTTCTAAGAGAGTGTTAAGTGCACCAAAAAAAAGCTCTCATTCACTAATCTGACGATTTCGATGGGACGCAAACTCGCGGCCATTTTTTGAAATACTCAAGCGCGTCAGATTAAGATATATATGGTTAATATTTATGTTCTAAACGTACTGTTTCATAAACTGACGATTATGTAGCGGGATTCACCTAATCTGACAAAAAAAAATTAGAAAAACGGTTCACCTTAAAGGCCATCCCTGCAACTTTTCGCTAATTCCATTCCTGGGCGCTTAAAATTGTACTTATGACATTTTTAAGGTCAAAAAATAATTTATGTGATATTTTGAGCCTGCTGAGTTCAAAAAAATAATATTTCTATGCATTTGAGCTCTCCCATCTCGAAAATCTGATAGAAGTTTCATAGAACACTATTTTTGGAATTTCCAAACCGCAATAACTTTTGAAAGGATCAACCGATTTTCACACGGTTGGCGGCATTCGACGCAGATTTATCATCCTCATAAGTAATTTCACAATTAAACAATTTAATTAACAGAAACCAGAGTGGGGACGGAGTGAGAGAGTAATAGATAGAGAAAGAGTGAGAGAGGAATAGAAACGCGGAGGAGGACATGTAGACATCACGCAGCTGCACGCATTTAACTTTATTGATGAATTTTTGTTATTTCGGCTTGTGGAAATCGTCAGATTATATATTTTTCATTATTCTTGAATTATTTCCTTCAAAATAAAAAAAATTCAGCTACGCTCGAGAATGTCGAGATGACGTTTTTTTTTTACAACTTTGTTGCCCTCCCCTTTTTTTTCGTCACTCTCAAATTGTCAGATTAGTGAAATATACACTTTTTAGGGTGTAATAAACTCACCCTACCTTAATCTGACGCGCTCGAGAATTTCTGATGGTCAATTTTTTTTTACTAATCTGATCCTGTATCCTTCACGGGCGGCCTTATATATGGGCCTCATGTTTTGTGGAGGTACTTATATACTAGTAACTGGGTACTGGGTTATATATTAGTAACTGGGTACAAGGTATCCCCCTGTATATTAATCTGCCGCGCTTTTGTAAATCCCGAAATCCCCTCTTGGGCTCCCCTACTATTATAATTAATGTAGAAAACGAAATTAATATTTTTCAGATTCCTACGCGTTCCTTTATTATTTAAAAAAACTACATACCTACTCCCGACGTTTCGGTTACTTTTCAGCAACCGTTATCACGGGTAGACGAGATGTGAATGTCTGTTTGTATTTATGTAGTTTTTTTTAATAATAAAAATACGCGTAGTAAGTAAGTTAGTGGTGGCCTAATGGTTAAGGGGCCCGCCACTCGTCACCAAGGGCGCGGGTTCGATCCTGGCCCGGGCAAGTACCAATGTGATTTTTCTGAGTCATATGTACTTTCTGAGAATATTAGACATCACTGATTAATGCTGATTCCCAAAAGAGGGTTGATGTCAGGCAGGCGGCCGGTCGTAAAAACAATTAGCCAAAAACTATTCACAAAGGCAGACCCTGGCTATAGCCGGGAAATTGCCAGGTAGAAGGAGAATAAAAATACGCGTAGTAATCTGAAAAATATTAGTTTCATTTAAATAAATTCTTATGAAAGTCTTATTCTCATAATGTAGAATACGTTTGAATATCTTCTGTATAAATATTAATTTGTATTTGGCAGATACATATTTTAGTGGAATTTAAACAATTCAAGTAAAAACTTGTAGGTTAATACAGCGCACAGAAACATATTAAATCGGTGGGTTTAACCAGACCGTTTCTGAATACGTCAAATAAATTTATAATAGAATTATTGTTACTCTACAGATTACTCTTACAGATTACAGATCTACAATTACAGATTACGCTACAGATGTATTCAAAGACAAATATGTTTCTGTTTTATCATACTTTTATTAGAAGAGAAACCCCAAGTTGTATTTGTCAATACGAAGATAGTTGACATATTTGTTTCAGTATCAAAGTAGTTTATATGCATTATTAAATCACGTAAACTGTGTTTTGCTCTTGTAATATTTAATGACACATCACGTTTTGAAGGGACTCGTAACGCTGGCTGAATAATTTTGTGGAGACAAATATACGAAAAGTCTCTGGAGATTTGACAGCAATGATTAAGTTGTACTCGTATATGTACTTCAGAAATATCTTTAATTTTTATTATGTAACAAACATTTATATAATTTTATTTTAACCATATTGAAATATTATTCTTACCTTGTAAATATTAACAATACCCAGGAAAGCCTGAGCGTCTTTAAGGGAGGCTTTGATGGCTTCTTCGAATGATTTGTATTCCGCAGAAATGAAAAGCACTTGAGTTTCCATTGGAAATTGAAGACCACCTATTCTATGCTCCGAAGGCCGATGAAGTGTTAACGAATGAAATAAGTATCGACGGCTATGAGCTGCACCTCCGTATATAAGAGGCTGATTTATAGGCTTCCATTCTCCATATAAAACAACTTCAAAATAAAAGTAATTTAATTCATACATACTTAAAAACTAAGGACTAATTCTACTAATTATATTGATTGATGTATAAAATAAGTTAGCAAATTGTATTAATTCCGTTATTTCCTGTATAATCCGTAATTATTTCAATTATATTATTTTTGCAATTAAGCAAGAAAAAGAAAAAAATAAGACGTTAATTACATAAACGTGGACGGAAGCATCTTGACAGGAGATTAAAATTTTCTTGTTATCGAACCCCAATGGGAACATTTCTATCAACTTTTATTACGGTGTCCGATCTAATTGGATAGGGAACACCAAACCTAACTTTATTTGTACAGACAAGATTGGGATTTTCTTCAGTGCTAATTTATAAAACAAGATAGAAACTACAGATGCTTTCATTAATAGATATCGAAATATGTGTTAATATTTCATTTAAAATAAATAATAAAAGAAGTTTAAGCAAAGATGAAATGTAGTTATTGTATCTTTTCTAACCTACGTAATATATGAAAAAATTCCTTACTTCGTTTTCCATCATGGCTCAACATGAGGTTCTTTGGTAATACGTCATAGTTAAGAAACATAAGCTGTCGACTTTCTTTAGCTTTAACGAGTGGTGTGTAAGGCAAGTCGACTGGAGATTGCGATCGACCGCCGCAATCAGGATACTGTCTCGGCCAATCGTGCTGATCTGTTATTATATTTCATTCGAACTAAATAAATAGCAATGGTTTCTATTACGAAATTTTTATGATAAATATTACCTTTATACGTCCATTCTTTTAATTCTGGAGCTTTAGTATCTATAAATATGAAATTGAATTTTTAAAATAATAAAATTGAACAATTAAAATTACTTATAAATTTATATAATTTAAACTTTATAATAGTTACTTGGTTTCTTCGTCTTTTTCAATTTCTTCCTTTTTGCGAAATATGTCTGGAACATATTATCTTCATAGTAATAAACGAAGGATACAAAATAAATCATTATTATTCGACACTTACTGATTGGCGAGACTTCCGCAAAATTGGTATAGTTACTATAGGATATTGCGTTGGCAACCGGAATACAAAAACAGTTTTTGGCTAAAATGAAAATATTTACTCATATAAATTGCGTAAAATCAACAATCTACTTGAGACTTTATAAGTATCGGTAAAGAAATTTTGATGTTTATTTTATTCTCATTTGTAATAAGTAGAACAAAAGAAGGATAAAAAAAATTTACTAATTCATGTTGTGGCTTCCATGTGGGAATATTTTCTATAATTCCTTTATAATATATTTTTTTGCGGTATATGTATAACGAAGCAGCTATTTAGCAAAATATAAATACTTAATATTGTATCTATTGAAGCGGATTTGTGTTTTAAGTCAGGTTGTGATTTACCTTTGCATACATATATTTGTCCCTGGCTTCATTATCTAGTTGAGGTTGAATATCGTCAGCATCATCAAATAACGTATTCATACGTTTCGTTGTTTCTTCTTGGCCTGGCACTGATGGACAAGTGCATCATTAATAAATATACATATGTTAATCAGTTGAAATCTATGTTTTATGCAGTTTCACTTTGCGTTTGTAAATTTAAAGATTTGATTCAATTTATGTATAAGAGTTTAAAAATAAAATAATCAATGTACCTTACATAAGAGTTAAAGCGAACTGAATTCGAATATTATACAGAACTATTAGCATAAAACTACAAGTTTGTTTAAAACAGAAAATTAAGTTAACTAACAATATTAAATGTATACTAATGTTGTGGCTCCACAAACCTCCATGTGCGTTTATGTAACTTGTGAAGATGAAACATCCGTAAAATACGATCAGTTTTTTCAGCAGCATATACCTCCGTTATTTATAGCAAAATGAAGAAAGAAACTCTTATTATGTTAATAATATATTCTTATTATGTATATAATAGTTTTATTATGTATATTAGAATCACAACATTTTCGAACTCATAGCAGAAACTAGATAGTAAATGTAAGGTTTGAAAAATATATGGTTTAATGACGTAAGCAAGCAAATAAAAACGTTGTCGCTACAAAACACTGACATTGATATATGAAGACATTTTAAAGGAGTTGACAGCGGACTTGTTTTTATAAGAAAATAAGCAAAAAAGTTTTATTTAGATATTATTTTAGTATAACATAAAATATACAGAATCTAAATTACATAACACAAAATAAGAAATGTCGATATAAATACTAAACAACTTTAAGCAAACTATGTGAGTTAAACCATTTATTTTCTACATATTAAATTCAAAATAAAAACATTCTATGCTATTGTATAATTAAAACGTCAAAAAAACTCGTAATCATTGAACATTGTTAGTTTTTAACAGTTACAATTAACTGAGAAATATTTATGCACCATATAGTTTTAATTAAAAAAAAACATTTACGTTCGACAAAAATCAAAATGTATCCATCTGTTAAGATCTAAACTACTAAGAATGCCTGCACATAACTCTATTGTTACAGAAAAGTGTTCATAAGCACGTAAAAAGAATATATGAGTGACAATAGCAGGAGATTCTTGAATGGTCGTTGAAGATTGTATCTGTGATTCTTCAGGAATACTCATAAAATACATACTTGGTATACGAGCATATTCATAATCCAATTTACTAGCAAATTGACCAAGTAGTTCATACACAGCTTTATATTTTTGCTCCTCTAAATCATTCTTTTCGTACCACGGTTTTTGTAATTCTTTATGTGATAACTTTAATAAATCAAAGTATTTCATTCTTTCTTCATAATCCTTCTTCATCATTTCTAACCGCCAACTGCTGATTGATAAATCCCATTGACGATTAACAACCATCTCTTCATAGAAATTTTTCATTTTCATAACTTCTGTTTGATGATAAAAACATACAGGATTTTTCAATACAAACATTTCAGCCTCTAAAAATAGTTTTTTGTAAGGATAAATTTGTGGCTGAACACTTGTTGATTTTGTAATTATTTCGTGTAACAAATCTCTGGCAATATTCCGAAGCAGAATTTTATAAATAAAGTTTTCCAGTTTCTCAATCTTCTTCTTAATTTTGTAGAAGTTTTCTGTCGAATCCGCGTAAAGATTTACTATGAACGCCTTATCAACGGATTCGTAAAATGAAACATTATAAAAGATTAATTCCCAAGTTTCCCTATATGACCCAGGTTCACCCGATATAAAAGTAAAATATATATATTGATTCTGTCCTGGACATATTACATTCTCATTTCTGTTAAAAAAGAAAACCGGTTCTTGATAGTCTTCCACACTAATTGGTTTTAATTTTTTCCAACAATATCTTAACGTCACTGTCCCAAGATTTTGTAAAAATAACTTGCTTCTCCCAACTCTTTTGACCGGACAATTAAAGTAATAGGACCACGAATTGCAATTCACGTGCCACGGTTGTTTTTGCATTTCATACAAACTGTGAAGATCTTGAGGTGGAGTGTTTTTAAAAAATACCGTATCATTTATTCTTACGGCGTAAATTGATGGATAGAAATCAGCAGGTTCCTCGTTCTGTAAAATAATTGATATGACGGGAACGGAAGGCATTTTTTTTGGAGGAGTTTTGGGCTTGGTTCCTACAACCACTAGTTCTTTTATTTCGGGTCTGAAATAAAATATTTTGTTTTATTATAAAACTAACATATTTAGAGAAACATTCTAATTATCTGTTCTATAATCTGACCTGAAAGGATCTATAGTTTTTATATTTTCCTCCAATTCCTTCTCCCTCTTAGCCCTATACTTCACGTATTCTGAATTTAATTTTGTGCAAGGGTTTCTTTTTGACACACCACTAATCCCCTTTTCAGTTTCTTGAATATAATTTGGTACTCCAATATGTTGAATTATACGGGGCCGTCCCATTTCAGCTCTAGTTCGTTGCATTTCATAAGCAGGTTCACAATAACAACCTTGTTTAAGTCGTTGAGGTTGCTCCCATAGGGTACCTCTTATTCCAACTTTCTTCTCAATTTGGGCATGTTCTAGAGTTATCTTTCTTTCTTTGTCTTCACGCCTGTTTTCAAAGATATTCATTTCTAGTTCTGCTGGGTCTCTGCCCAATCTTTGAGCTAGATGCGTTGTTTCTTCCTTTCTTATTTTTATCCATTTCTCCCATGCTAATAATTCCCGATCGGGCTCAATGTAATCAATACAATTTATATTTTTATAATCTTTGTCACTCATAATGTATACGTACTTAAATGATATAAGAATAAGATTTTTGTTATTCTAAAGCCCTTTTCAAAGTATTAAATATTACATAAATTTCAATTGTCAAATGTTTGACGTGAGATTTCAAAACTTATCATTAATAAAAAGGTATTTTTCTTTGTGTCTTTCAGCGTTAATACTGAAATCCTTCTTATCAATGTTTTTTCTTTCTCTCTATTGTATTCTAGTGACTGTTTATAAAATTAAAAATAGTATCTTAACAATTAATAGTACTTTATATGAATGCTAAAATTCAATAATTTAATAATATTTTAGGTCATATAATTACCAAAATCGCACGCCTCTGTACAGTTAAATTCGAAATTAACTCGTTATTAAAATAAATAAAACTTAAATAAATATCGAATAATTAACCTTTATTTAACAAATCATTTTGTATCGATAAAACGTTTAATTGGACCTCTTCTACATATAATATTAAGTTCAATCCCTCTAGATTTCAATTTTCATAAACGACATATTGTCTGTCATTGTAATTTAATTATTTTTGTTTGTACAAAATTTTAGTGTTATGTTCAAAAAAGCCGCGCCAACACAAACAGGTAAATTGTTTAAACTGAAATAATTTTTGCTCAATGTTTCATAAGGTGAGTTTCTTTAAAATTAGGAATTAAGGAGAATGTTTCAAATATCATAAAAGATGATTATTCAGTCTTAAACTAGCCTTAGCTAATTAATGTTAAAGAAATTATGAAATAAAACAATAATTGCGATGTTAAAATCTACTAAAGCCAATTTAAATAAAAAAAATTAAACACACTTTATCTTAATATTTAAACAAATTAATTTTTTAATTATATTTTAAAGATTCTGAAGGGTTAAATGTGTATAAAATTTCAGAGGAGGAAGAACAACATCCTAAAGAGGAGGAAAGGGTTATTCCGGATATAGGAACGTTGGAATGGATATATTATTTGAGTGAACTAGAGGGTGATCTTCCCACTCCGATAGACGTGTCAATCACTGGTTCTCTAAAGTACCGGTGCCCAGATCTCGTCTGGTACAACTTCGAAATATACCCTCACAAAGTCAAATTAACAAACACCGGGCACACAGGTTTGTTCTTTTTTAAAATCTGATGGTTTGCACGGTTTACAAATCATGGCATATAAGAATCTTTTCATTATCATCTCGGAAGCAATGTAAGTAATTATGTTAATTAATGAACGGCTCGGTTGTCCCAAAGTTAGAATATGTGTCCCCGGAAAAACCCCAAGTTTATTACTCCGGGGCAAATTAAATATCCAACTAAATAGCTCTGGTTGTAAACGACTTGTACATTATTAGTTTCGTACATAAACAACGTATACGTATAGTTTATAAAGAGGCATAATAATAAAATTATAAGACAATTTAGAGACCTAAATACACAATTCTACGAAACAACGATGTAATATCACGAACGTATGTTTCGGAATTAATTAAAATATACCATTACTTATGGCATTCAGGCGTTACTTCTAGATGATTAATAAAAATGTATGAAGGTACTAAAAAGTCGTTCTTCCAAAAGGAATTAGTTAATTTTTTATATTTTAGAAATATATACTTTTTTAATAGTAACTAATGGTTCAACGTTTAGTTCTGCTTGGAGCGAAATGGAGAACCGAAAGACCTTATCTAAAAGGTGGTCCGCTTTTAGAAAAACACATATTTTCTCAAGTACATTTCCATTGGGGTGCGGATATGATGGAGGGTAGTGAACACACCGTAGATAAGAGACGATACCCAGCTGAAATGCAGGTTTTAAAACTTATTTAAATAAAAATATGATTCTTTAATTAATAATATATATACTCGTTAACGCTTTTTTGTTACGTATAATACATAAATATAATATAATAATATATAAACATGACTTGATGTGTTAAAGTATGTACTTATCGTTTTTATTTTAATACAACAAAGTTTACTTTATATATAGAGAGAGAAGGCAATATCTTTAGACATATATCTTCAGACTTAATTATTTGCTTTTAAAATTACTTACTACTATTGTTGTCTAATAATTCTGTTTGGTAAATAAATTACAGGTTACTTTCTTTAGATCGGAATATATGACGCAGGAAGAAGCGTTCAAACATAATGATGGCGTTGTAATGATATGTTACATTATTAAGGTAAATTGTTGCAAAATAACCCTAAGTGATTTGGAAACCAATTTTCTATTTTGGCCTAATAATCTTTTTTCGTAACGAATTAACCCTTATATATAGGCCACGCCGTATTATATCTCCCAACGGTACTTTTGTTCTAACATTGTTAGAACAAAATTAAAAAGTCTTCTGTTAAATAATTGAGACAAATTTAGCTATAGTTTTTATTAAAGTATAAAAAAAGATTTTTTTTATACTTGTACATAAAAAAATAAAATTCCGTATTTGACATAGATACGGGGTCTGCTTTAGAGGCTATAAATTGAAGTCACAAAGACCCACACATTTCTATAGGTAGTAAACTTCTTGGATGGTTCAAACTAAAATTGGACCTAGCTTATGAAATAATTTAGGTAGACTTTTTTTGATATATTTAAATTATAAAAAAATATCCAAGCATCACATTTCTTTTTTATATCAATATAGATATTTGTAGTAAGATTTGATTGTTACTTATGTTAACATAATATCATTTCTGTAACCATCTTAAGAAACTATCGTAAAAGATAAACTATGTTTCTTATAGTACGGTGTAAATCCCGACCCGCGTCTCCAGTGGGTCTTAGAAGGATTTCCTCGTATACAGGAAGCTCAAACAAATACTCGAGTTGGACCATACCCTATGTCGCGGCTCTTACCAATGTTTTTCGAAGATTACTTCTTATATTGGGGAAGTTTAACAACCGTGAAAGGAGAAAGACACGTAGTAAGATGGCTTATACCCCGACCTACCTTATATGCTTCTTTCGATCAGGTAAAATAATGTTTTAAAAACAAGCAAAACAGTATAAATGTATGTATATATTTATCCATTGACTAAATAGTTGTAATTTAAAAGATCATTAAAACAATCTTTTTGCACAGATGAAGGAATTTCGTAAATTATGGGATCCTTGGGACGAGCCCATAGTGAGAAATTTCAGACCACTTCAAGAACGAAACGATCGTCATGTACTCTTCATCCGTCCGCACTGGAATCAATACAACTCATTATTACCAATACCAAGAGTTCCTGAGCCATCGATTTCAATTTTATCTCCAGCGTACCAAGCAAATCCATGGATGCTACCTAAGCAAAATGTCGAGTCACAAACTCAGCCTGAGAAAAATGAAAAATGAATGTGATGTTTTGGCAACGCTGAAAAGTATAGTGGTCACTATCCTTATCTTCAGACGTTATAATTATAAACTATTAGGTCGATAATTCTATAGCAATAATAAGTCTATAGCAATGGCATTTAACAATATTTTGTATAACGACAAATAAGCTTATTTAAAATTAGCAGGAAAAAGGTTGATTTCTATAAGTTATAACTATGACAATATTAATGACTTGCGTGTTGTTATGTGTTTTTAAGAATTTAAATTGTGAAGTAATGTTCATTATGTATTTAAAATTAAGGAGAAATTTCCAAGTGTTAACAGAATATCATTAGAATGCAAGTAAAAAATAAACATATTACAAATCAGTTTGTTTTTATATCTAAGATTGAATATGAAGCAGAAGATTAGTAAATAAGAAAAAAATGTGTTTGTGTTTCTTATTTTATCTTATAAGGAAGTTTAAAAATATACAGTATATCTATAGATAGGTACATACTTTTTTAAATGATTCTTTTTATTTTAAAAGATCTGAATTGGACAGTATCATTGAGATTATTTTTAAATAATGGCTTCTTTGTTAGATATGTATAAATAATTATTATCTATATACATATATGTATATATATAAGAAAGTCGTTTTTGTTATAACACAAAAGTTGAGATCGGCTCGACCAATTTTCACGATTTTTGGTTCGTTGGATTTGTCTCCGCTCCGGATAGCAGAATAAATCTTAAAAAAGTAAACTTAAAGAAAACTCGACGAAAACATGTAAAGGATCGAACCCGGGTTACCAGGATCGATCGAACCGGGTTGTACCTGTCATTTGTCAAACATTTGTTGTCCATCCTGTCAAATACTATAGGTAACGGTTGACATGAGTTCAGAAATAATGACAAATGATTAAAGTTTACGCCTGTATTTATTAATTTATTTTATTTACATTAAAGATTAGATTCTAGCGACATCTATCGAAAGAAATTGGAATTTCATGTAATTAACTCAGACAAAAATATATATTTTTTGTTATGTTCGTTCCGTTCAATACAGGCAAAGAGATCAAAGCCCATACATCCATGTTTTTTGTATTTTGTATCTTTAACTATTTTTTAAATGTCAGGCCGGAGCCATGTCTTATTCTCATTTTTATTCTTGACTCAAGTTTTTATATTAGGCCTAAGCCATGTCTTCTTTTAATTTTCGTCTTAAATATTTTTTTAATTACAAGGCCGAACCCATGTTTTTTTTAATTTTCTTCTTCAAACATTTTTTTAATTCTAAGGCGGAAGCTATCTATTAATTTCAAATTTTTTTTTGTCAAATTCTTTCTTTTTTACATTCCGTCTTTTTTCAATGTCAAGTCCGTGTACTGTCATTTTCAGTGCAATAATTAATTTGTCAAAGTCGGTATAACAGTCGAATTCTGAAAATAGCTGAAATAGCTGAAAACAAATATTTTAAACAAATGAACAAATTAGTATTATATACATAATGTACAAATAACAATTAGATTTCATTTATAGTAGAAACAATAAAGCCATAAACTGGCAAGAAGCATTCTTGAATGCTTAGTATTTGCCGAAGGGAGCGCGGGATATCTTCAGCAGTTTTAAAAATACTTAAAAGTTGGTCTACAAAGACCATCCTTTGAATACTGAACTGTGGACAATGAAAAAATATATGTTCGAGGGTTTCATCAGCACTATTGCAATATCTACAAGTTGAAGAGTCAAAAACACCAATCCTATAAAGGTGAGCACCAAAACTACAATGTCCCAGACGCAAACGACAGATTGTGGTATAATACTTTCTATGGCTATAGACACTACCCTGGGTAAACCAAGGGGAAGAGACCTTTTCCTTTATTGTAGTTAACCATTTTCCTTTTACCTTAACCACCTGATGCCACAAGTTGTAAAATTCTTTCTGTAACGTGAGTTTGAAAAGGGATAGAGCGTCTGAATAAGGAATTGGGAAATTTAAAAAGCTATTAATTGTGTTAAGCTATAAAAGACTTAATTAATTGTGGTCTGGATTTGTAATAAATTTAGCTGAATAGTCTGCTTGCTCATTACCATGCACACCAATGTGGGCTGGTGTCCAGAATAGGACTATTTGCTTGTTTTGAGACAGCAGGTGATACAACTCTCTTATTTTATATATAATATAGTTAGTTATTGAATTTAATTGTGGATTTTGTAGTGCCATTAATAAACTTAAACTATCCGTTATTATAATCCACTTTGGATGAGTCCGTGTTTGAATGTGCTCCATAGCTGTATACACAGCTATGGATTCAGTGGAGTATATGCTTGTGAGTGGATTCAGCCCATGACCGAATCCACTTTTGACCTGACTATCATAGACAGCTATAGAGACTGCTTCATTGTTCCTAGACCCATCTGATCTGATGAGATCCCTGCCACCTATCAAGTTCCTTATAAATGTCTTCCTTTTACTTTTGAGTACAATTTTAATCTGAATAAATTTTGATTCATATAACCCAGAGTAACAAGGCCATACCATGCTAGAAAATGATGTTTATTAAAAATTTGTTCTGTTTCAGAAAAACCTTGTAACAAATATGAATTAATATTGGCAGTCCTGTTAATAGTGTCCCACAGTTTAACATGAAGTGGATGGTTACTAATGGAGAGCAGCCTTGCAAAAAATTTTGATTGTAAGTATTTAAACCTAAGTGCTAATGGAGGTATATTACATTCCACCTGCATTGACACTATGGGAGTAGTTTGCATGGCACCCATTATAATATGCAAACATTTGTTTTTTGTCTTTTTTAATTTATTTACTATAGTTCTTACCCCTGCAAAACAAAAAAAAGCATATTCAAAATGACTCCTTACTAATGATTTATACAATGTTAATAGAATCCTTGGATCAGAGCCCCAATATGTACTTGTTAAAGATTTTAAAACATTACAAGCATTTAAAGCTCGAGATTCTAGAGTGTCAGCATACTTATTCCATCTAGAATTGTTTGTAAAAATAACACCTAAAAACTTTACAGAGCTCTCTACAGACTACATTATTATTGAACAAAATATTTACATTCCCATTTCTAATTCAATTTTTGGAAAAGACAACAACTTTACTTTTTTCATTGCTGACCTCCAGCCCAAGGCTATCAAAATAGTTCTTTAGTATTTGGAGAGCAACATTGAGGACTGATTGTACACGTAAAAAATTAGTATCAGAGCAATAAACAACTAAATCATCTGCAAACTGCAGATTAGAGACTTATGAATAGGATAAAAAGCAGTGGGCTCAATGCACCACTCTGTGACACACCCTTACAAGAATATCTTGGACCAAATAACTGATTGTTAACCTTAACAAACACCTTTCTGTAGTTCAAAACATTAAAAATCCAATTTACAACTTTTCCAGGTACCTGCAGTAATAATAATACTGAGGATAATTTGTTCAGATCTACATTATTGAAAGCCCCTACAATGTCAAGAAAAAACACCTACTAGTACTTTATTCCTGGAACGAGAATCGTGGATATCCAGACAGAAATGACGTAGACTCTCACAATCAGAACGGCCACAGTGAAAGCCAAACTGATTTTAAGGTAAAAGATTATCACTTTCTATGTGAAAAATTATTCTCTGTTTTATTAATTGTTTGAAAATTTTTCCATACCATGGACTCAGTATAATAGGACGATAAGAATCAGCCAAATTAAAGTCTTTTCCATGTTTTAATATTGGTACCAAACAGTCAGTTCTCCAATCCTCTGGGATAATAGAAGATGACCATAGACAATTTAATAAACTTAAAAAAATAGACAGAGTTTGAACATTAAAAAGTTTGAACATTCTGTAGGAAAGCCAATCCAGGCCACATGAAGAATCTTTTCTTGAGATAAAGCAGATTTTAACTCTTGCATAGTAAAACAACCGATCATGTATTATTATCACTATTTACTCCAAGAACATTATCTATACATATCTGTTGTGAAACAGTATCAGGTGTGAATTTATGTAAAAATGTTTGAATCCAATTGAGGTCAGAAGATAAATTAGAAATTGGAAAGCTTTTTTTGAATTTTCTCATTTTAGTCCAAATGCGACTTATAGATGTCAAACGATTTATTGATGAGCAGAATTCAGACCAACTTTTACGACGTTCCTCTTTTAAATTGCGTTTTTTAAAGGCTCGTGCGTGTTTGAAATTAATGTAATTTATACTATTAAGACTAGTTTTAAAATTAATGTAGGCGTTCTTGCAATCTTGTACTACTTTTGAACATTTATCATTCCACCAAGGTACTTGGCACCTTTTTCTAGGACGGTTATTATTACTATCAGTTGTGTTATGGTTTAAGCTGGGCCCGGAGAATTTGATTGCCAATAGAATAATTGCACAAAACTTTCTGTATGAGTCAAGGAGATCACTATTGTCAACTTTAAAGTTCAGTAACATTTTATTAAAAATTTGTTCATAACTTTCCCAATTTACTAATTTCAGATTGCTGTGAAAAGGAATGTTGTTCAAGGAAACAGAGAGTTGATGTTGATCTCTTTGGAGAGTAAATTTTGTGATAGTTGGCAGATGATAACTGCCTAAAGAATCCTGATGAACTTGTCAGTCACAAGAAAGAAATAAGAAAAAAGACACCATAGTCAAATCTATACTGTTTGGTTTCCAAATATGAGAGCCTATAGTTGTTGGTGGACCATTATTTAAAAGTATTAAGTCATTGTCATCCATGGAATCCATAATAGCTCTGCCCCGAGAATCTATGTGACTACAACCCCAAAAAGTATGATGGGCGTTAAAATCACCTGCAATTATCAACGGTTTTGGAATACTGTACAATAAACGATCGAACTTCGCCTTTTCAAAACCAGGAAAACTATTACCAGGACTGTAAAAACTAACCAAAGAAATGCATTTATGTTTCAGTTTAATAACAATTACTACATTTTGTAACGAATCATCATAAAAAGTATCTAGTTTAGAGAAATGTATACCATTTTTAATTAATATTGCTACGCCATTATGATCATTACCGCAGTCATTCCTAATAATGGTATAACCACGTAAATTAAATTGAATGTTAGGCTTGAGCCAAGTTTCTGAAATAAGAGCTACATGTATATTATTTTGGTATAAAAAATTTTGAAACTCAAGTCTGTTACTTAACAGACTTTGAGCGTTCCACTGTACAATATTTAAGATTTGGTGGTTGAATGTAACGATTTGCTATTTTTATCCTGGATGGTTTCTTTAATAGCTGAGCTAATAAATTGTGAACTAATACTGATATTTTGAGTTTTATTTAAAGTTATAACTTTTACTTATAGATTCTGTTAATAGAGTCACTGCTTCGGAATTTGATAGTATTGCTTGGATTACTTCTTGGGTACTTAATTTTTTATTAAGGGAGGGAAAATTAAATGAATCTTTTAACATGTCAGCATATGACTTGGGTTTCCTGTTTTGCGATTTTCTTTTGCCTTATAGGGCCTTGCCTATATTCTTTTGCCTTTCGCCTTACTGGCTAGAGATGGCAATGTGATTGCCATTACAATTAATGTGCTTAGCTTTTTCAATGTTAACCTTGCATTCTTTGAAAGAATGCCCCTTTGTGCATATGGAGCATCGCGGTGAATTTGTACAAAACTTAATCAGATGATCATAGCGTAAACATTTAAAACACTGTTTTATAGGTGGGACATATGAGGAGACAGGCAGGCGCCACATCTTAATGTGAACATAGTCCGGCAGTGACGTAGCAGACGCAAAGTTATTATTACGCTCTGAGTAGGTTGCAGTGTGAAGGTGTTATTTTCTCCTTTTACTTTACGCATTATGCGTCGAACAGAAATGACTTTTTTTGTTGTTGATATTGCTTTATATATTTTGTGATTGGATAGATGAGTGGGCACCGAAGAGATAACTCCCGATAGTTCGGTGGCCACTGCTGGTATTGAAGCTTTAAGTCGTTGTTCCTTTAGATATGTAGTATTTTCTAAAAACGTTGGAAAACGACATCGACCTTATATTTATTTATTTTTTTAAATATTGTATACCTTTCACAGAGCGTATAAAATTATTAAGCGACATCATGTTCCTATTAACGAGTGGGACATCACTAGTACTTTCGACATGAATTCAGACTTGGCTTCCGCATCTTCAGGTTATCGCCGACAATAATCAGCGACCCTAAAGGGAGCGGAGGCATTTACATCCTGCAATACTGACGAATCCTCGCAATCGGAATCGCTACTTGTGCTGGAAGGCAAGGACTCCCCCGAATCCTATTTTTTACGTTTGTTCAACATCTCTCCACATAAACACTTATATACAGACTAAGTTTCACTTCTTTACAATAAACTAAACAAAATTTGCAAATTATAGTATAAAACTATTTAAAACCCCTAATTAAAATTTTCAAAAAGCCCGCGTCAACGTTTCAATTCCCGCGCTCTTTTTTTCTGAGTCTCAGGCAAAAATATAACAGATGGCCCTAGTAGTTTAATAAATGCAGGCCTTGATTTGAAATACCTATATAAAAATATAAATGTTACATTTGAAAACTGTTTTTGAATATTATTAGTTGAGGTCTTGACAGATTATCGAATTACTAAAGACTTATACATACTATTATAGTATTAATTTAAACATATAATATATAAAAAGAAGACAGACCATTATCTATCGAGTCAGCTGTAGGTACATAATTAAGAAATTCACTTCATTGATATAAAAAGGTAACAGATATTTCTCTATTATAGAACGCTATGAAGTCCGCCGGGTCATCTAGTAGAGTGCGTTTGATTTAAGCTGAGCTTTGCATCTGTGTGAGTGCACACGGATAGAGTAAGTGTGATGTAAATTTTTTGAATGCAACGTTCTTTTCTAGTTTTGAACCGGTTTATTCTGATTTTACTCCGCCCCGCACCTTCCCCACTTCACCTTTTGTACTGGTAGTAAAATCAAATGTTGAAAACGCAATGTCAAGGGAATAAGAATTTGTATAGTTTTATCAAAATTTTTATTAATCATAATTTTTTTCCATAATATTCATAATATTTCCATCTGGCCTTTTACAAGTTTTGTTTATTTTATAGCACTTATATTATGTATCTATTTAAAATATAATAAAATTGAATTCTAAAAGTTTTTTTGTTTAACTCTACTTTTACTTTCACTTGCACAAATGCAAAGCTCAGCTTAAGTCTAAGGACTATAATATATAAGACTAAGGAACGTTATTCATAACACATTAATTATAATTTTCATAGAACCCTTGTCTAAACGAACACGCCAGTTTGATGTCACTGTCAAACTTTTAAGTGACAGCAGAAGTTTCAAAATGAAGTATCGTTTAGAATTGCTTCGCGATCAGCTGTTCGTTGCCTCCTTGAGTAGAAAGTTATCGATATGTACAGGTCCATTATACGTACCAGCCGGTACCTAGTGCGAAGACAAATCAATAGTTCCTTCAGACAAACACCATGTTCTATTGTGCTTCGCCACAAAGGAGTCCTTGCCTGTAATAACACAATTTTTCAACTCTCTGCTAGAGGTTCACATAATACTGTTTCTTCAGAGGGCATTGAACCTGTAGTGTTTGAGAAGATTTGTAGTGAAACTTTAGAATCTCTGTTTGAATATTTTGAAGAGTTAATAGATCAATCTCCACAATTAAAAGGCGCTGACATAACCTTCAGTGTGAGTTTAGACCTATCATATATAAAGTTCAACGCTTTCTCTCAGATAGCATTTGAAATTAAATACTTAGCTAATATTTATCGCAATGATAAATAAATTATGTAACAGAATTTACCAATAACTAATTTTAACACCAAAACATAAACCACAATTATTGTTAATATAATATATTGCAGTTTCAATAAACATTTGGTTTTATTATATATGTATATTTCAGGATGGAGTTTTAACTGTTGCCTTGGGATCTAACTACGGAACATATGTTATAAATAGACAAACACCAAACAAGCAAATATGGTTGAGCTCTCCGATTTCAGGTCCCAAGCGGTATGACCTCGAACTAAAAAACGGTGGCTACTGGGTCTACAAGCATGACGGAGTCTCACTCCACAATCTATTACAAAATGAAATATCAAAAATTGTAGATAATGTTGATTTTAAAAGTTGTGCACATAGTGTAGTGTAATATCTGATCTGTAATATAAGTAGGTATCAAATTATAATTTTGTTTTATTTTTAAACCAACATGGAAGTAATTGAAGATGGAAATATTATGGACAGAATTCCCATTCTGTTGCAGCGGGACTTAGAATACTATCAGGTAAATTGTATGGATAGATTTTTAGCTATATAGTTTTAATCTTATTAAAGTTAGCAATTCCCAAAGCTTTATAAAATAAATTATTTCTTTGTTTTTTACAGAATATGTATTTTTTACATTCTTACTATCCTAAGATTGCCATATTTGATTACAATTAATTCATTCGTCTTTAGAAATTGTTGTTAATTATAGTATTGCCTATATTATAGTATTGCATCATACATAATTTTTTTTCTGATCTTTAAATTGAATATGAATATATTTCCAGAAAAACCAAACAATTCTATCAGAAAAAGTATGCCGAGGAGTTGTTGGGGGAAAATTAGACTTTCCAAGAAGCGCTTCATTTGCTGCTGTTAAAATAGTTCTGTGGTTGGAAGAAGAATTTGCTATAGCTTTTAAGTAAGTGAAATCTTTTAAAACATTTATAATAATTAGTATTAAAATGGCATTTCTTCAGAAACATATATTTTTAAATTTGCTAAATCTTCAGTATATTAAATTCAATACAATGCTGAAAAATTATTTCATATAATTACAGTGAGGGTTCCGGCATGTTTGTGTCAATCGAAGAGGAAAAAGCTGATGGTGTTGCAAAGACTTCTGATCCAGATAAATTTGCACAGCTGGCTACAAAATCGAGTGATTCTCTTTTGGGTAATTATTCTAAATATTATCTTCACTAAAACTAAATAAGTCACCAAATGATAGATTTTTGTCACCATAAAAATCTCTCACATACTATCTTCTATACTAAATATCCAGATAATCAAGATACAAATTGCTTTTCTTCCTACTTTTTAGTGAAATAAGCCATTAATATGAGTTTTTTTTATTATTATTACTTATATATAATTATATGTATAATTTTGTTCAAATTATTAAAAAGAAAATAACAATCTGTCATTTCACTCTGTAAAAGGTAAATAAAGGAACAAAATAATGATAACTGCAAACACGAGTAAAAAAAATAAACTACTTATATATTGATAACTTTAAAATAGCCGTTAAAAGTTATTGCTAACACAATATTAACATTTAAAATCCTTGAGTGATGTCACCTCGACGACCGACAACCGAAAAGTGTGCCAGCTCTAGAGCAAACCGCATCTATATTGTTGTTTTTATAATTTCCTTACTATATATATTTCCCATTAAAGAACACCTCCACATGTTGGCCCAAGAGGCGCTCGATCATGCCGACCTTCCAGTCCTAACGGCCGCGCTTGGAGCCGCCGCACTATTAAAGAACACCCTGTATTGCTACGTACAGCATGTTGAAGACAGCGGAAATACAGAACGACATTCTATATTACTTGTAAGTAATAAAAATCACTGTTAACTTGATAGATACAATAATATAGTAATCATTTAATTATGTTTGGGTCATTAAAAAATATATTCCAGTCATGGTTTTGAGTTACTTTTAAAATACCAAATATAAATGGCAAAGACGATAAAGAAATATGTGAATAATATGGAATTTATATCTAGGCCTGTTATAAGCGTTATGTGACAATGTCGGAGGCTGTAGGCGAGAGAGTTCTGGATCTACATAATAGAGTTCTCTCACTATATATATTACAAGATTCAGGAGGAAGACCTATTGACGACATCACTAACAAAATTCACGACTGCGGTACACCTTCCATACAAGGATGGTGGTTATACATGAATGGTATTCACATTATCTATTGCCAAATAAACTTTTCAATTTAAACGAAATTTACAATATATTGTTTTATTTTAGGAAGCAAAAAAGATTTATGGGATACAGTCCCACCGAGAATGGCTCAGAGAATTTTCGCTGGAATGTTGAACGAAACTCTGACAATATTAACGGTGAGATATTGCCAGGTAAGGCGACTTGTACTTTGTATACGAAAATCCGTCAATTTTCATACTATGGAGTCATGTCACTTATATATTTCAGACGAACACAACAGAAATTACAACTCCTTTATTAATAAACGATATATTGAATATACTTCTGTGTGTAGCACAGTTATTGCCATCAATATGTAACAATGGGTCAGACTTGGCTGGTTTAAATGAGACCAAACAGTCAAGAGATGTGAGGGATGTACATGCTAAATGTAACGAACTATTCAAATGTATGGTCTATAGAGGAGCTGACTTGCATTTCCTACATCAGGTAAAAATATTTGGGTCTTTAACTTACTGGCACTAAAAGATACATTAAATGGACTATCTAGTCAAAGTTCAAAGTTAATTGAGATGGCAATAGTAAGAACGATAATTTATGCATGGAAATTAATATTAGCTCTAACATTTTCAGGCATTCACAGAAAAGGATGAAGAGCATTACCCAAAAGACACAGCATTTCCGTGGTTCACATTCGTCAGTCCGGAATTTTTTGACGGTTCTAATGATGTGAATGTCAAAAATTCACAAGATCTATCAACTAAAACAGCTTTGAGTTTAGATTTGAAGGTGTTGTTGGCTCAGCCTCAGCCGTCATGGTCGTTGCTTGTTAAGGTTGGTTAAATACGATGTAAGAAAGAATAATGCTCTTGATTAATATTCAAAATCGTGAGAATTCAAGGATATTAATTGTCTTAAATGTTTTTGGCACTGAAGTTAAGTTTTCTGACGTTCTGATTACTTTACAGCAACCGTGATCACGGGCAGGCTAGATGAAACTGTCCTCTTATGCGTGGAACACTTTCATTTCGTCTGCCCGTAGTCATAGTCGCTGTAATGTAATCTAAACGTCAGAAAAAATTTATAATAACACCGCGTATTATATCTGAAACAATTTAATTGTTAATATGTACTCTTGAAAATTTTAAATGTCATAACTTATTGAGTGAAGTTTTTAAAATAGAATTGAAATGTTGATCTTTATTTCATTTTTTTATATTTATAACTTGTGATTAATTTAAACACTTGAAATTATAGTTTACTTTTTGCAAGATAAACTATTTCCTTCTTGTTATAAAAGTTTATTTAATAGATATTAAGAAAGTGTTCGGACATTTTTTTTAAATTTTCATTGTTTCATTAAAGGTACTAATGATGCGTGATTGTCATCTATGCCGAATGTTAATAATCCACGGAATTCGTCACATGTCTATGGACAACGCTAGATGGCCGGCAGACGGGTTGTGGTACCATTGTGACGGTTTAAAGAAATGTGAAGGGTTTTTATGTACCGCGGATGGATTTTGTAGATTCAAAGGCGACGAAAATGGTTTGTTTTTTAATTTCTTGATGAATGTTCAGTTCTGATAACAAATGTATTGCAAAAAAACAGAATTGCGAAGAAATATTACATACAATTGCTATGCAGTGAATGGATACTTATAATTAATTATATATAAATACTTTTCATAATTTCCATTCTCATTCGATATCGCAGTAAAATTTTTAAATGTAATCATGAAAATGTTTGTAGTTGTTAGTTATATAAATAAATAATGTAACGTATTAAATATATGATTTTTTGTCTTATTAGCTGGTGAAGAATACGCGAGGGCTGTCGGTGCTCTCACATATATTTTAGTAACGATTGGAAGCAAAGCCGATCTTAGGTCTACTCTGTGTTATGCGTTAGAAGTTTCTGGGAGAGATTGGGCACTCTGTTTGGACAAACGACAGGTAATGTTACTTTGATACAAGCAACATTTCTACAATTCAAGTATAGTGCGTTTAATTTAAGCTGAGCTTTGCATTTGTGTGAGTGTACACAGATAGTGTAGGTGTAATGTCAAATTTTTGAGTACTTTTCTAGTTTTTAAGCGGTTAATACCTTTTTTACTCCGCCCCTCACCTTCCTCACTTCACTTCACTTCACTCTTTGTACTGGTAGCAACGTCAAATGTTGAAAACGCAATCTCAAATGAAGAAAAATTTGTATTGTTTTTTTTTTTTAATTTTTTATTACTTAATATTTTTTTTTCCATAATATTTCCATCTGGCTTTTGATAAGTTTCGCTTATTTTATTTTTAATCTAGAATAGCTCTAGCACTTATGTTATGTATCTATTTAAAATATAATAAAATAGAATTCAAAACATTTTTCGTCTAATTCTACTTTTACTTTCACTCACACAAATGCAAAGCTCAGTTTAAGTCTAACGGACTATACCTTGTTAATAACTTTGAGCGACGATAACTTGTTACTAAGAGGTTGATACATAGTTTCCTTAGTATTGAAGCGCAACAACCTTAAATTCTTTTTTTTTTTTTCATATTTGTATATTTGTAGGATATAAAATTTTGTGTTAAAAAAAGTTAAATATATAAGTCTTTTTAACTAACATATAGTTTCTTTTTTTTCATTCCTGTAATAATAAAAAATAATCATAGTTTTTACAACAATTAGAACTTGGTTTGAATTAAATGTTCATGGATATAACATTCAGATAGTGCTTAAAGTACAATACCAGATATGGACTACGACTCTAGTTTTACTAAATGCAACTCTATTTTATATTCGTTAAGGTCTAATATACAATGTCGGTACAGGTTTGGTGTGACCGTAGACCGTCCTGGCTGGCGGGTGTACTAGCGGCCGCTAGCTCAACTCTTCAGTTCATTCCTCCCGTACTAGTTAATGCACTTAAGTCTGGAGCTTCCATGTATCAGGTATTCTAGAATATACTTAAATATAGTCTTCTAAGCCATACCATTGTCGTAATCAACCATCAATAAGAAAGTGTAATACTTCTATATTGAATAAAGTTGTTTGAGTTTGAGTTTGAGTTTGAGTAAAGAAATTTATATGGCTTATTTTTTATTTTGCAAGAAGTGTGATTTTTATAACTAAATTCTAAAGAGAATGGGCATGCAAAAAACAATAATAATGTTAACTTTTTTCGATATTCTAAGATGTTCATGTACTAAATACTTTTGAGTATTACTACCAATATGCAGGAGCCTTATATGTAGTAGGCAGTTTTGGCTGCGTATGGAATATTCACTTGTTTTTGTCCAATTTTAGTTTGGAGCCATAAACATATTACAATTTTGCATATATTTATATATTTCTTATTCGTTTTATTTCCAGACAATATCGCTGTGCTTAACGTGTATATCAAGAACCTTGGACTGCATACCTATTTGTTTTAAGAACGCAGCGAACGTTCTGGAAGGGACATTACCATCAAACGTAAACCCTGTGGGAGGATCAATATTATTACAAATGTTGATTATAATTACTTATGAGGAATTATTAAAATGGTCCAAAAAAGAATCTGCTAGAGAAACACATGGTATGATACATTTTTGTAGATAATTTAAGACGTATTTTTCGTTATTAAACAACTTTTTGTTTCCAGTTTCAAACGGGGAAGCGCATAATATGAATAAACCAAAACCGAAATCAAGACACGTGAGAGTAAATAACTCAAGTAAGGCATAAAATTCTTTATATTTAAATTACAGAACTGAAACATTGTTTACATATCAACTATTACTTAAGCCTTCTCATAGTGGAATTATGCTACCAATATCTTTGAAGTATAATATTTACAACAATATTTGTAACGATGTTTTTCATATTTTTTCAGCGACTTCATCGTTATCATTTGATGGAAGCCATAGCTCTTTATCATCTATAGCGCTTGCTATCGCCGAAGCTCTGTGCTCTATAGACGAAGACCATAAACACACCACAGAAATAGAAAACCTTGTTTCACAGAGCAAGAAAACTTACACTATATCTGATAATTTCGGTCTCAGTGATTTTCCAGATTTTGCGGAATTCTTGGAAGAAGTCAGTATTATTTGATATTAATACAAATAGAAAATAAACAATTATATAATATTTCTGTTACTTTTCGTTAAGTTTCTTCAACTAATATCTTTTTCTGAAACGATTAATATGATCAGGAATTTTTTTCTTGGAAGTTGAAACAGTATTATATTTCTCAAACGCTTAAGTATTTATTCACAATGAGTCCTAACATTACACTTTTTCTATAACTTTTTCTATATCGTACCATTGTATGAACTAACCAAATCATATACATATTTTAGGGTAATGTTTCGGCTTCAAATGCTGAGAGGGAGAGTGATGCTATGGCCCTTACAAGTCAGATAATGATGACGTCTTCTGGAAGGGATAGTTTAAGAGTGAGTGTAGTTATAGCACCAAAAAAGAAAAGTGTCTTGCATTATCTTAAGGATATAGAAGTCTTTTGAAGAAAATTTTCACTATGGGTCCTGTTGTAATCGAAAATCTGATCCAGCTGAAAAAATTCTCTTTATTATATTCGTTTGCACTATAAGTATTCTGAATTTAAATACATTGATTTAAATTTGTAATGTAATATTATTATTTTTTTATTTTATTTTTTTAAGGTAATTTACGATCATTTACAATTACACACGGAACGGATCTTCAAGGAAATTGGTGTTCAAGAAGAGTGTGACGAAAAAATTGTATTGAGCAGAGCGCCGCTTATGTATATAATGTTTCATATTGGAAAAAAACCGTTCGATCAGGTGATTTAATGAGAACTCGGGTTTGTTTTAATTAATATTGTCCTTAAGGAATAATCATATCATAATGAAATTATACACTTATATCCTACTTAGAAATGTGACAATTTGTGGGTTTGCTTGTTTCTCTTATACTTAAAAACTACTCAAAGTTTTTTGAAGAAACTTTACAATTCTACAGCTTTGACATCAAAATAAGGCATAGGTTATAAACATTAAACCAGAAATTCAATATAGATCTCGAGGAATCACGGAATTATAGTAGTATTAAGTAACGTGATATAGATCACCAGGCTACAATAACTATTATTTCAACACGTTTATCTTGTCAAATAAAGATCAAATTCTAAATAAAGATTTTATTCACAAATAATTCTATTGACAAAAAATAACTTTGAAACTATAACTTCTTTCAGTATCTTCGGAAAGAATGGACTATGCCGTGGAGCAAGTTAGTAGCTCTCGCAAAGGCCTGGTCGGGTATAGAGGGCGCTAAAGTACACGTCAATAGACGGATAGATGTACGAAACGTTAAAACTATGGGAAAAAATAATAAACAGCTGATGGAATTATATAATGTATTTAAAAAGCCCCCAGAGGGTGGGATATTGTGAATTGTTTGTCTAAATGAAATGCTTTAGTACATTCCTATGTTCCTAAATCTATTTATACAAAATAATGTTATGCTTCACTTTTGGTTGGCACCTGATTTTAACGCTGGCAAATAAATGAAATAGGCTCTCGGATCCGTATGCTTAATCAAAGTATAAATTAAGCTGTAGTAGCTAGTACACATGTCATCTTCAGAGACGAATAGTTTTGTCACAATTTAATAGACTAAATAATAAACCGTAAAAAGGAATAGGTCCCATATGTTGAAGATTTTATTATTCTTATACTAGATCATCCGAAAGATTTCGTCCCGCTCTATAATCAAGAAATATCTGTTACCTTTTTATCACAATGAAGTTAATTTCTTAATTATGAACAGCTGACTCGACAGATAATGGTCTGTCTTCTTCTTATATATAATATGTTTAAATTAATACTATAATGCATAGTAGGTATAATTCTTTAGTATTTCAATAATAATCTGTTCAGATCTCAACTAATAATATTCAAAAACAGTTTTAAAATGTAACATTTTTATTTTTATGTATTTCAAATCAATAGCCTGCATTTATTAAACTGCTAGCGCCACCTGTTATATTTTTGTGTGAGTAAATTGCATGAAACTCCAATTTCTTTCGATAGATGTCGCTAGAATATAATCTTTAATATACACAAAATAAATTAATAAACGCACGCGTAAACTTTAATCATTTGTCATCATTTCTCAATTCATGTCAACCATTACCTATAGTATTTAACAGGATGGACAACAAATGTTTGTCAAATGACAGTTACAACCCGGTTTGATCGATCCTGGGAACCCGGGTTAGATCTTTTACATGGTTTCGTCGAGTTTCTTTAAGTTTTCTTTTTTAAGATTTATTCTGCTATTCGGGGCGGAGACAAATCCAACGAACCAATCCAATAAAAAACATGTGTCATTACAAGATTTAAGGCACCCGTAAACAAATTTCACTATTCCCACCCCTCTCTTTTCTTCAACAATCAAGGTTGGCAACATTTACGTTGTGGATGTTCGTGGGCGACGGTCTCTACTGCCCATTAAGTAGGCCGTCTGTTCGTTCGCCACCTTAAACATAAAAAAATTTTCGTTATATCCCTGCTCGTGGAAATATCAGTTATATCGCTACACATTAAAAATATTTTGAAACTTATATGTAAGTAACAACTCTCGTCTGTTGCTTCTTAGTGTATACTATTCGCTTCCTTAACTTTCCTGACACTACTCTTATGTCAGTTTAAGATGTCCTATTAATCCAATAGGCTTAAATAATACCACAAAGGTCTCTTAAGTCGTTAATGAATTTTTCCACTTGCGGCTTATTAACACCAGCGGCTCTCATGAAACTCATTAATTCTTACCCTATCAAGTTGAGTCTACGGTCACTTTTATAAAATTGTAGAACATAGTCACTATATAAAATTTATTTTAATTCAAATTGTTAATCAAATTGTCATATAATAATATAAGCATTTGTTATATTGTAAGTCAGAATTATTAACCAATAAATAGTACAAAAATAAAACTTTGTTTTATTTATTCAGATATTACCTTAAAAGCCTTTTATTTAGATTTAGCTCTACTGTGGATTTTTTGTAAATGTTTGCTTGTATTTTGTGTGCAGAAGCCATAGTAATGGATAATTTATTTTTCCCAATAATCCTGTGGTATCGGGAGCCAAGCCTCGAGTAAAAGTTACCTTAATGCAAAGTAAACCTGTTTAAAATAATATCAACCTTCGGATTTAATTAAGTTCTACTTAACTTCTAGCTAATAATAAGTTTTTATGTAAAAACAGTAAAAGAAACAAGAAAGGAAAACTTAAATATAAAATTTCAACACTAGCATTGCAGTATATAAAAAGAATGAATTTTATTACTTTATTTTTTTTATATATGTATATGGCTTGAGTAAATAAAAATGTAGATAGAAGTTCGGCACTCATGGGGAACGTGAGCAAGTTATGAACTAAGACATAACGTACATTGGTTAGAGGTAAAAAAATCAATATTCCGTTTAATATAATATACAAAATAATTTTATATTAATAAAATGTTTATTGTTCCTTTTGAATATGTTCTAATTAATTAAGTGACGTAACAGAATTCTGTTGATGGATAAACCGTATCTAAATCTGTGACCAGAATATACCCGCGGCACAAACTTCTAATTGTATTATTCGTTAATCATCCCGTGTTCCGGGAAAGGGTTCAATTAAAACTCCTAAATTGACATGACTATGTACTATGATTAATTAATTTAATGAAAATAAAATACACAGTAAAAACATTCTTCTCTTACACCATATTTACATGAAAAACATTCTTTTTTAAATGCTCTCTAATAATTATACACTTATATTAAATATCTTCTGGATTTTATTGAGAAATGATGTAATATGTTTATTACTCAACGTGATTTATCGTATTGTATATAAAAGGTTAAAAATTCAAATGAAATCTAACAATTTCTTATGATTGAAGGCTGGATAAGAATGTTTTGATAATTGAGATTTGTTTTTCAAATTATACCTCAGCGTCTTCATGTAAACTTTCCAGTTGAGAGTTGTTTTCAGAATCTTTATTGATACAAAATTAAGATCGTTACTGCTAAAATCAAAAATATATTCAATAAAACTTCTTTACTCTTTATCATATTTACTAGCAATTTTGAACAGACCATTTCTTAAAGTAAATGACCTAGTGATACAGCTTTCATACTGAAAAAATCATGTTTTACATGCCGTCATGTGATCAATGTACCTATTCGTTCTTACGATTTATTTTATTGGTTAATCACATGTGAAGACAAAATACACAGATTTATTGACTTTCTCAATATTTTCTTATTTGGAAATTTATCGTATTGATACAAACTTTGGGCGCTCGACTGGAAAATAGCCATTTTTGCAAAGCGCGAACAAAATGGTAATTTCGGTTGCTTGAACTCAGCGAACTGGTATATTATATTGATAGAACGTTCTATTATAAAAAAGAGAACAAATATGCTTGTATTTTTAAACAAATATACTATATTTTTAAGCGTATTGAAACGGCAACGGTATTTGCGTTTAGGGTGAGAGAATGTTTGTTTGTGCAAACGAATGTTTGAATTTATCTCAAAAACGGATTGATTGCCTCTGATTTGTTTAAATGTTTAGTTACACACAACTGTTCTTAAGACATTTCTTAATTACGAGATACGATATAATATTATTGAAATGTAGGATTTGTTTTAATTAGTTTTTTATGTTCATAATAATAGCTCTTACCGTTTTAATTTTTAATTACATTCGGTATTAGCCGAACTTAAAACATACTTTCAAGTATAAAGTTCTTCAACACTTGTGTTGGGTGATCATAGTTATGAGGTAATTATTTATTATATTTTAGAAAATAGTTGATATGTTTATAATTTATAGAGTATAAATGATTCAATATAAAAAGAGTTCTATCAAACAAAATTCTAACTAACTTTATGCTTTATGAAAAAAAAAACACTCTTAATAAAAAGACGCTTTCCTAAACTGGTGAGGCTATTAATTCTTGCTTTATTAAAATTATGGAGAAATTATTTCAGGGAAACAAAATTTAGGTAGGAAGGTATTTCATAATTTATGTAACAATTACATGGATTAATGAGTATAAGTATAAATATACGTATCTAATAGGTATAAATGTCCAGCTAAATACGTAGTATAAAAAATATATTGTTTAGTTTTCCCAAAAACTTGTGACGCTGTTTTAAGTACCCACCCCAGCGACTTTATATATTCATATAAATTCTATATTACTGCTTTTATTAATACATTAAGTTGTTATTTGATAATTAACAAGACTCACACTTAATAAATTTCTGGGTACAATGTGTAATATACGTAAAGTTTTCAAAGAAATGTTACTTTTAATAGTTATTATGAGGACTTATATACACAGTAGTAAGGTGAGTAAAATATGAATATTCCTTGAAAACGAAACAATAACTTCATTTCTAGATAAAGAAATATGTTTTCAAATTAAAACATTCCTGCGATGCCGAGACAGAATGACTTTTGTTTTTAATAACAACAAAAACATTTTTAATTTCAAGGCGTTATGAAACGGTGTTCACTATTTAAAAGTATTATTTTCTATTCTTAGAAAGCCACTCTTTGAGAGGACTTGGAGTAAAACCATGGAAGGTTGGCTGCTTCGAGCGATGGTTCTTTTTAAACGATTAAGGTTCCGTATTAGTTAAGTAAAACCTTGCAAATAAGAAAATTACATTAAAGCAAAAAACGGAGGAGATATTCTATAGAATAGAATATTATTTTCTTATTTTTATTCACTTTGAAATAACAAAGTTTAAATAAGCTTATAAATACGCAGGCTATTCTTAACGCACTCTGAAATGTCTTCTTGGAAATTTTGATTCAATTTTTGAGAATACATAATAACAAATTAATTGTTTGGATAATTGATGTCTTTGATCCAATTACCTTCAAAGAGATATTGTGAACCCTAATAATTTTTGCAATTTATGTCCTATTCAAGGCTTACATGAGGAAGCATTCAAGTTTTCATTGAGAACTCATTGTTCTCAAGCCTCTCGTTGCTTTTAAGGATAGAAATAATTAATAGAAGTGAATACAGCAATTGAAATATATTTTCTTTCTATTTTTATCTTCCCTTGTGTTTTATTTTAAATTAAGGTTAAGAATTTAATATTAAAATGGAGTTTTAATCCGATTGTGAAAACGTTTACAGAAGTTTATTTTATTTCTTTTACTTATTTAACAATATACATAGTACTCAGAACTGACTGAAACAAAGGTGTATAAATATCGTGGTGTCAATGATATGAAATTACACTTATATATATTAATACATACATTGTTTATTTCATGTGACTTTATTCAGTGTGCCGGTTTGATATATGAAACATTCAATTATTTAATAATGATAAATACCTGCTTATTATTTTTATTTCGTAAATAAAATT